AAGCTAATTATTCAACTATTATAATAGTCATGCAACTACCCTGAGTAAAGACTCTAAGGAGGGACACATATTTTGAGAGATAATATCTAAGAGAGTAGTTATTCCAATGTAAAGGGACTATTATTGTTTTGACCAAATTATATTTGATTATTAATTACAAGTTTATGCAAGACATAACACCATGCTTCATGTGTATGAAGCATTGAACAGATTATCGAGTGTTTAATGTACACCTAATTGTATGTAAGACCGTTTTAATTTAATACATACTCATCCGTAAAGTTATAATGAATTATATATATATATCGTGAGATTTGTCGTCTTATACGAGGATACGAGGTGATGTCGTTGAGAGGGGGTGGTTCTATACTCGTGAATTGTGATGTTGAAGGGGTTTCCTCTTTAGAGAAAACTGCCAAAGACACGAGAATTTCATCATCCTACCTCGGCTCTTAGTGCAGGTAAACATGCACTATATTTAGGTCTAAAGTATTTCATATAACATGCATTTTTGGACCACCTCTTCTTCTTCGTATGACGACATATATATCATGAGTTAGATAAGGTTTTAATGAGATAATATTTGTTTCTTCTTCATACTGTTAGTTAGGTAGAATAACATTATGTTGAACATTGTGTCATTGTTTGCTTGGAAAATTGTAGTTATGGCGTTTCCTTTAACTTTGGCTGACTTCTCGTCGCCTTTTTTTAATTTTTTTTATTATTATTATTATATTTGAATCGACATCTTTTAAAGATAAATCTAATTCATATTCATATTAGACTCATTAAAAGTGAGTGGATAAGAGAATTCTCACTTTAAATAGCTTTGACGTGATTTAATCTTGTAAACTTCAAGTCTATAAGTCTGATCCATCTCACCGGACTGTTAGCTTGTATACTTCTTGTATTTGATTAGAGGCTATACACTTTATATATAAATAATTATAATTTATAAATACGAAGTATTAAAGAGGGTGAAGTCAGAAAATTTGACTAACTATCCGTCGAAAGGTTGTATTGGATATATTGACTTGAATATACAATTATACATCCATATTATTGACTTTTATGACATGTATATGGTGGGAGAAAAAAGAAAAGCAAAATTACTCTTCCAAACTAACAAATTAAGAGCCAACTTGAAAACAATATATATCTATATTTCTTATAGTAATCTCGACTTACTTGTGTTAGTAATCAATCATTAAGATATTATTAATCGTAATTTAATTTTCTAATGGTTAAAGGCGATCAATTCCCTAACATTATGTAGTACTCGCAGTTGTTTAAGGCTTCAAATTTCAGTTAAATATAATAATATTCCTCAAGTAATATCGAATTGAGATTAATTTAATCAATGAGGTATCGTACGGAGTATTATATTTTATGTTTATTTAATGCTAATTGATGTTGACCTAAATAATTTTGAGCTAAGTATTAATTAAATTCTTATTGAGGATCAATAATCAAAATCTATATGGTATCACTGATGACACTATGATCACAGTAAAATCTCATTTATCCTTTTACTCGTTACTTTCTATTCATTTGAAGCTCCATCATATCAACAATAGTTGTAGTCCGAATTTTTGTATATCCTCCGTTTTATAAACTTCTTAATATTTTGACTATAATGTGATTAGAATGCGGTGTAATATTATGAAATGAAGGGTCGAAAGGAATATACGGTGGTAGTTGAATAAGTTGAGACATGAGTATACATTGTAGGAGGTGGATAAGAGACCTCCTTATTAATATCCTAAAATATTATTCTGAAATTTGTTCATTTTAATGCTAATAATACTTGTATAAGAGAATGTTAATACGAAGTAGTTAGTTACTTAGGACCTGTTCTCATTGACTGAACTCAGCTGAACTTAACTGAACTGAACTGAGCTGAAATGAATATTTTATAAGAGAAGGAAATTAAGAGATGAACTGAACTGAGATGAGCTAAGCTGAACTGAAATTCAAGACCCTTAGTTGTATTGTAGTGCAGTGCGTAGGTTATTAATTTTTCCAAAAATGAGTGACGTTCATCTTCAGTCTTGAGTTGGGATATGTACCAAACAAGAGTGCAAAAGCATAATGCATTCACGTGCAACTATATCTGTTACCATCTACAAGTACCGTAATATTCGCCAACTGTGTAACCAACTACTAGTATATTATTTAATTTATACTACTCGTATCACCAATGTATATACTATATACCATATAATAAAGTATTCTACAAATATAAAATGATGAAAAATATATTAAAAAAAAAAAAAAAAAAAACACTGCATTATAAAATAATGAAGTGAGGTAAAATAAAATTATAGGTGTAGTCACATTTTCAGCATGCATGGGATGGTAGTCTCGGTTAAAAATAAAAAAGACAGGTGCTAAATAAAATAAAATTAAAAAAACCAAAAAAAAAATAAAAAAAATAAAAAAAGGTGTAAAAGGCTGACAAAAATGATGTTAAAGTCGTAAGGCATTAACATTGATCACTCAATTTTAAAGGCATTGCTGCCTAACAAAAGTCATGCTATGATTAAAGATTACCTTCAAGTCTTCAACTAATGTCAATTTTCTAAGGTAAAAGTTTTAAAAAGTTTACGGTAAAAATTATATAGGGTTTTCACTGTTGTTTTGATTAAGTAGTTTTAGAAAATGGTACTCAAATACTTTACGTGTCCACTCTTGTTCTTTTAAACAACTAATTTAGAAAAAGCATGATACACACCGTATTCATGGAAAAACATGCAAATCGAAATAGAAGGAAAAAAAAAACATGTTTAATATAAGCAAATAAAAAATCTTATCTAACTTTATTTGTAAATTAAGGTACGGAGTATTTATATAAGACTATAAGTTAATCAATGAAGACATAATGCAATGACATATGGTATAAATAAATGAGCGTAAATATTTGATCAAGTTATTTAAGTAGTATGGAACACGAAGATATAAGATATGATCTTTTTTATTTTTATCTATATACTCATTCATTTTAGATATATAGTACGTGACTATACTCTTTCAAACAAAGTGCAATTTTGTCCAAAAAAAAAAGGTGCAATTGTGATGTAATATGTATGAATGTATGATGATGAATGATGAAATGTTGCAAACAAGTACTCTTCAACACTTAATTTAATTGCAGATAGTATAAGTCATTCTTAAAATTACGAATGATAATTCTTACTTGTATTAACTAAGGGCATGTTCTGATTTACTGTATTGAGCTGAACTAAACTGAATATTTGAGAGAGAGAAATTAAGAATTGAATTGAAGTTGAACTGAACTAAAAATTAGATGAAGAGAACAGACCCTAAAAGTAAAAGTAGCATAATTTATTATAGATTTATCTCAAGTTACGATCATTGCTTATTTTGCTTGGGTATATTAGACAACATAGACACATAGTTACCCCAAAACTGGCCATAAAGCCCACATTCTTATCAGCACTATAATTCCAAATAAATACATGGAACAGTTTTGGGCTTTCGATTAGGCCGAGCTTAATGAGTTAATAGGCTGAACGACATTCTGAGTTTTGGGCTACTAAAATCATATAGGCCTACTAACCTTCTGACACTTTAAGACACCAAGCTCTTTAATCAGGCATTCAAGTATTCAACATGGAGTACATAATTTTTTGGGTAATTTTAAAATAACCACCCAAAAATGTAATCATTTTCGAACTAATCACCCGTTTAATTTTTTATTTTAAATTACCACCCCTTAAATTAAATAAATACTCAGATTACCACCCACTTCAAAAATCCGGTGCATATTCCGTCTGTAGGCCCCACCTAACACTTATTTTGATCTTTTTGACTGATTTTCCTCCCGATTTTCCTCTTTAAAAACGCTCTCTATACTTTAATTTACATTCCCTTCACCAAATTTTACCAAATTTCAAAGAGAAAAATGTGAATTGAAGTTAGGAGAGCGTTTTTAAAGAGAAAAATCGGGGAAAAAATTAGTCAAAAGGGTCAAAATAAGCTTAGGTGGGGCCCATAGACGGATTATCCACCAGTTTTTTGAATTGGGTGGTAATCCAAGCATTTATTTAATTTAAGGGGTGGTAATTTAAAATAAAAAATTAAACGGGTGGTTATTTTGAAAATGGTTACATTTTTTGGTGGTAATTTAAAAATTTTCCTAATTTTTTTGGGTGCAAATGTGCAATATTCAAGATATACGAAGTACTTTGTATTACATTTGTAAATTGTAATGATGTATTAAAGTAGGCTATATCTTTAATCAAGTTTTAATTTAAAAAGTATGTGGAGTTGATATTTTGTAAATAGTACTATCAGAATAACAAATAGTACTATCAAAATAACAAATGATATTGCCTTGAGATATATTATTCTAATATATCTTTAGTCAATGTAGATAAATTAGTTTCCATGTTTTATAGCCTAGTATATTGTTCATAGTTAGCTCTTTCCTTATTGTTAGCTTAATTAGTGCCTTATGTTAAGGCTGTAATTTGTATATTGGCTATGAAGTGAATGCAATACTCACGGAATTATTTCCTTTATGGTATCAGATTTCCTAGGTTAACTTCCGCTAAATCATTACTAGTAATTAGTGGTTAGCTGGTTAATATAGTTGATTGTATTAATTGGTTTTGATTAGTTTGTTGTAAATAGCTGATTGTGTAAAAGGGTTTGGTAAATAATTGTTTGTTGTTAGCTATTTTAGTTTAGGGTTTTTCTATACAGTGAACCTGAGGTATTGACTTTTCCAAGCTGTGCCCACCCATTTTAATAATTTCACGTTGTACCCCCAAGTTACCTTTAGTGTCTACAATGTAACCCTACCTTAATCTTTCCGTTAACTTAAGTTAACATTCCGTTAACTTCAAAATAAATAAATAAATAATAATTAAAAAAAAAACAAAACAAAACCCCAAACACCTCTCTCTCCTCCCTCACAACTACCCACCAGCCACCACTACACCTCCAACCGTGCCACCACCGCACCTCCAGCCGCACCATCGCCGCACCCCAGCCGCACCACCGAGCCGCGCTCTTCTCTCCTCGACCCACCCCCGCGCGCGTCACCCTCCTCTCTCCTTCTTTCTCAACCGAGCCGCGACCGCACCACCAATCGTTCTTCATGCCCAGATTCGACCAATTGAACCATATATATATAAATGTGGGTTTGAGCACAAAATTGTCTTCTTTGCTCTCCTTTCTCAACACCTCTGTGCTAGTGTACTACCCCGTTAAGACCCCTCAAATTCCTTCAATTTGATGTGTCGGAGCAATAAGGAATTGGGGTACCTTTAAGACCCCTCTCTCCCTCCTTCACTCTATTTCAAGCTTGTGTAAACAGTTAAAAAAAAAAAAAAAAAAAAAACAGGATCAGTTTTAAGTCTTAATGCAAGATTATAGATCGACGCTTTTGGGGTGCGGCGGTGGCGGCTGGAGGTGCGGCTGGAGGGGTAGTGGTGGCTGGTGGGTAGTTGTGAGGGAGGTAAGAGGTGTTTGGTTTTTTTTTTTTTTATTTATTGGAAAGTTAACGGAGGATTAGGGTAGGGTTACATCGTAGACACTAAAGGTACCTTGGGGGTACAGTGTAGAATTTTGAAAATGGGTGGGCACTGGTTGGAAAAGTCAATACCTCAGGGGCACTATATACTTATTTAGTGCTAAAAAAGCTAATTTCAAAAAGCAATTTACCTAGAAAACAAAGTTAACTTTTTAAAATGGTCAAACCTCTAATAGTGTTTAATAAGCTAAAAGCTTTTTAAGTAACTCTTTACCAAACAAGGCCATTATACCGCTACATGTCAAATTCACATCAAGCGGCTTTGTTGCCTACATAAACACTTTCAAATCGCAGCATAAAAAAAGAATGCTCCTTCAATAAGGTCATTAGGCAAATGCTCACTTACACGAATTCATGATCAAGTCAACATGTTTCAAAAGATGAACTTATTGAAATTAGAAAGTCTCCTCTTCTTAAGCTCCATTGACCAACATCACTATCCAATAGATTCAAGCCACGTATAACAATTTACGTTATAAGTCTTATAACCAACATGAATCACCTAAAATACCCCTATCATTCTCCCAATTTACCCCATGGCCCAATCACCTCCAATGGCTCAAAATCTTCAAATCTCAAAGCTCGTTCTTCTCAAAACACTCTCTCTCCTCTTCTTAAGATCTCCAACATTCTCACTCGAAATAAATAATAAACTTATTAATCATTTTTTTCTTGAAAATATTTTATATTTTAATTCGGAAAATTTGTGGACGGAAACCTTAAACCGCCCGAAAGAGGAGAAGAAGAGGTGCAAGGCAAGGATTCTAAGCGTAATAAAACTTAACCCAATTTAAGCAATTTTGAGGGATTTTGATTTGATGCCAAATAATCCAATTGGGTTTTCTGGGGTTGTTATAATTATCAATTCAAATGATGGGTTCTTGATTTCAATTTGATACAACCCGACCCGACCCACCTGGGATCTTACAGCATCTGGGTTACATTTGAATCAAGAACAATGGTGAAGATTTGGAGTTGGGTTTTGCTTATTTCGATTCTTTTATCGGTTTTTGCAATTGGGTCTTCTTCAATTGATGATTTCCATCAAGCGTATGTTATAACTTCTCTCTTTCATCAAGTTTATAGCTTTCTTTTTTGGTCAATCAAGGTTTATGTTTTTTAGGTAGTTTTAAATTTTACTGAAATTTATCATGTGTATTTGTTTATAATTTCTGCTTTAATTGTGGATTTGAGTGATTTAGTATTAATTGCATGTATATCAGTATATGTTAATATGTATGCTCAAATTGAGTAAATTTCTATACATGACATAACTTATGTCACATTTTGTGTGAGCTACATACATTATACGTTTATTGTGCAACCGTGGGCAGGGCCGTGTGTGTCGAGAAATGACCGGCAAGACGGTACCTTGCTGGAGCAATGCCGGTGAAATTGATTAGGGTGTGGTCTTATAGGTTCTACCAAGAACTTAGTTTTTTGTATTGAAAAGAGAATTGGAACAAGTAACAGAGTTAGAGAGGAAGTGTGATCGTTTATAAGATTCAAGATACCACATTAGTTGTTATAGTTTGAGCATCAAAAAGGCAAAAACAGAAATAGAGGGGATTTTAAAGTTGTTAAACTTTGTTTTGACATACTAATTTTAGCAATTTGAACTACTTTTGTTTTTACTGATTGGAACAAAGAACTGGCATTTGACCTAATTGAAGAATATCAAACTTCAAATTCCACTGGACAGAAGATGAACAATAGTCGAATATTTTACTCGACTTGAGTTGAGTGTGTTTGTGCGTATCTTTTGACGAGTATCTTTTATAAATCGTGAAGATTATTGAAGTTATAAAATGAAACTCGATTAAGAAAGATTTTTTCTTTCTATTTCAGTTGTGTTCTGTTAGCACATAATTTCTGCTATGTATTATGCAGCTTCAGTATTCTGTGGTGGCTGCTACATGCATTCCACCTGATTTATACAATAGGTAGAGACTGGGTAGACTACAACTCTAATATTTCGGACCCTTTAAGATATACATCAGATAAAGACAAGCAAGAAAACCATTGATCACGTGACAGCATTGCAAGTTAAGAATGTCACATGATCCTAGGAGAATCGAGATAATTTCCTACAGACTAGTGCACCATATTAAGGTGTATACTGAGACATGTTCTCTATACTATATGTGTCACCGATTTGGAAAATTTTCTCTCCCTCTGACTTCAGAAAATTGTTACATATAATATGTTGGAAAATTAGAAACTAGTCATTACGTAAGGCAATGGTTTATAATAGGATGCCTTTACATATATAATTATATTGAGTGATGGAGTGAATGTGAGAGTAGTTCAATTAATTATGAAGGAAATCTATAAGTTTACAGCTTGTGCAGAAGAATTCTCATTTTCATACCTGTGTACAGTTATTACTATTTAATCGTAGAATAGGTCCTTTTATATGTTTGAAAGACTTTGAGTGACAAAGGAACTGAGGTAAATGGAAACTTGTTTAAGAGATGCTGCAGAATTGTCAAGAAGTTTCTGTTATATAATCATTAGCAAACAGTGATATAAACAGTAAGAGGCAGCTCTGCACATGGTGAAGTTGATGATTAATTGATTTACCTATTGGACCTCTTTGTAATGAGCACTTCACGCGATAAATAATCCAATCCTTCAGTGGTATAACAATTTGTTTGCTTCTCTACCCTTTCATGCAAACCTGTAAGATGAATAAGCTTTTTTCCTTAGCTACAGTATAATATTGTTCAAAAGTTGCTCTTTGAAAATGAGAATGCCAGTCATGCTGCCTGTAATTTAGATACTTGTCCTGTTTTCTCTTGGCAATCAGCGAGTAGTTAAGATTATGTCAGAGTGCATGCCAATAAGTAATGCAGGTCCTCAAAAGTTTGTGAAATTTTATGAATGAATTATTGCGTGGATCCCTCCCTTTAGGTGCATATGAGCTTCAACAATAGGGTTTTTTCTTTTAATCTTGAACCAGGGGTCATCTTTTTACTGTTGCTATTATGTCTTTGCAATCATGAAAGCAAAATTTTCTCATTCAGAACATAGGTTTCAGTACTTCTGATACTCTTATGTAGCTGTTTTGTATCTCCTAAATATATCCTTTAGTTGATACACTATTATGACTGTCATAACCATAATTTGGAATTTAGTACTTAAGTCTCAAACTAGTTTTCATAGGCGAAGAGGAGTATATTAACTTCCATGATGGGCTTGCTATCAGATTGTGTAGGGGAAATCCACAAACCTATGCTGTTTTACAGCATGATTTAGCATTGTAGACCATTAGTCATAGGTAGGGGCATACAAATGTCCATGAAGGACTTGTTATCTTATTATGTAGAGGAAGGTTAAAAAACTTATGCTGTTCTACAGCAAGATTGAGCTATGTAGACCATTAGTCATAGGTAAGACATAAAGCTGCATGGATGTGAATCATGTGATGTTGCTCCTGAATTACTCTCTCTCTCTCCTTCCTTTTTTTTGGAGTGGGAGACTGGGGGTAATGGGTAGGGGAGTGTTGGGTAGTGTCATTGTTTTGGAAGTGCGGGTATGTTTTTTCTTCATTGCTAATTGAACTGAAGATTTCAATTATCAAATTTACCATCGATTCGATTTGATTCAGCTGCTCAGCTTTAATAGATTGGTCATTGCTCATTTATCTTTGTATCGAGTCTTTGAAATATGCAAAATTGGCTATAATGGCTATAATGCTTTTATTTAACTAGTCAGGAATGAGCTATTTTAGTTCTAACATTTAGGGTACCGCTCATGAGATTTTGATATGTGCTACCCTTATCCTACGTGGTTGACAATTCACTTCTTATGTAGGATGTGCATTTTATTTTGGGGATCTTTGTTTGATGGTAGTTTACTCCATGAAAATATATGTCTGTTTGAGCCTAATATTAGTTCACTCCATACGAATATATGCTTGTTGACCCACATTTGCTCCTTTTGAATTTCTTTTATCTTTCACTGCATTTTTTTGTTTATTTGTTTGTGTGGGTGCTGCCCAGGAAGAGTGTTTTTGTGATTGAGGAATGTCATGATGGTGACAATACTGACATTGGTCTCTGTTTATACAGGTTTCCCATTGTAGAACCTGATCCTGGTCATACAAAATTACGCCTTTCAATGGAGGGATTGGAGGCCATTAAGAGAATAACAACACCAATTTCCGCTGTTGCTGTAAGCTAATGTTGTTATTTTAAATATTTCTTTCAACTTAGCCTCCATCTGTTCTCTGATACTGCTCGTTATCTATTTTGATTTTTTTTTTTCCTCCTACGTCAAGATGGTGTAGATAAAAATTAATTTTTAGCATTTCCTGTACAGAGATTATTGATGCTAAGCTTCTTGCCTATGTAGATTTACGTGCTTCTCTTGACTTCATTGTGGTTATATTTGTAGGTGATTGGACCCTATAGATCTGGCAAATCTTTTCTACTTAATCAGCTCCTGTCACTTTCTTGTAATGAAGGTGATGTGCTAATATACTTTAAAAAGTTGCTGCGAAAGTATAATAGCTTGAATTTTTCCTAATCATAATCACTTTTATAACTATTTTTTAACAGGTTTTGGGGTTGGACACATGCGAGATACTAAAACCAAAGGTATGATTTAATAAGTTAGAATTTTACTCTTTTGGAAATTTCATGATATTTATTGATTTCTACTATGAATTTTTTGTTTTTCCTGAAATTTCACTATGCAGGAATATGGGTGTGGGGAATGCCGGTGGAAATGATGGTTGATGGTGTCAAGACATCTGTACTCTACCTTGATACAGAGGGATTTGAAAGCATTGGTAAATCAAATGTTTATGATGACCGGTAAATATTGCTCTTTAATTAACTTTGAATCTGGAATTCATTTGTGAGTAAGTTTTTGTAAAGTCTTTCTGATGTTTCTTCCACAGGATTTTTGCTCTGGCTACTGTAATGAGTTCTGTACTTATCTATAACTTGCCTGAGACGGTTTGTTTTCTCTACCTGTATCACTCTTTTCTCTTTTCCTTATTATTGTGTATTTTCTATTTATTTATATTTCTTGTAGAAGTTAAAGATGAACTCTTTCTTTCGTTGACCCTGCCTACACAATGACGTATGTCATATGTGATCTTATGATGTACTTGTGCTGCAGAGTGATTGGTGTTTACTTGTTTCAGGTGCGTGAAGCAGATATATCACGACTTTCTTTTGCTGTTGAGCTTGCTGAAGAATTTTATGGAAGGTTAAGAATTTTGATTTACACATTATTTGTTTATAAACTGTTTCTCCATTATTTAATAGACTGCTTGTGAACGAGAATATTTATTTTTTTAAATCAACCTTTCTCCATTAATAAAAATTGTTAGCACTAACTTTATTTTTTTTCTATTTTTTTTTGGCCCATGTATGTCTTCTTACACACAAAGCAGAGTAAAGGTATGCTCTCCTTTTCAAGTTCCGATTTTTTGAATGATAAATATTATTTCCGCGTTTTATGTTATATTGTACCATTTTGACTTTTGAACTATTCACATACCCTTTTTGACCATATTCTTCCATATGCTTTAAGTTTTTTCTAGTCTATGAAAACAAAATTGAACATGTACCATGTAATCGGATTTTTTTCAAATGTATAAATTCAAATTAATAACCTTTTACAATTATTACTAAAAGATAGGTAAAGATAAAAGTTGTGCATTTTCCAATTGTGAAAGTCAAAATGATACAATTATAGTGGACTGAAATTTTTGCTATGATTTAATTGGCTCGTTTTTGTAGGGTGAAGATGTAGCTTTTGAACCTGCTAAGCTTCTATGGCTAATACAACGTGATTTCCTACGTAAGTTATAAGTTCTTAAAGCTTTTAATATTGATTGCTTTCAGATGGGGAATTAACGGTTATCTAACAATTTAAAACATGCAATTAATGATTTTGGACAATCAAGGGTCTCTATTGCTGCTTGAGGTCCCACAGCCTTTGAAAATGAGTTTCCAAAAAAAAAAAAAAAAAAAAAAAAAAAACTTTGGACAAGGTTAACTTCCTATAAAGTTTAGGCCCTACTGTAGTTGTTATTTTAGTTGTAAGGGATTTGATGATTTTATTTTTACAACAAGGATGATATTGAGTCATGTTAAGAACTAATTCTTATTGGTGCTTTACAGAAGGGAAATCTGTTCAAGAAATGGTAAATGAAGCTCTTAGGCGTATCCCCAATCAAAATGGTTTGTCTAGTTCCTAGTTGCACCTGTCTATTAAGTTAATGAGTTAATCTAGAGTCTTGTTACTTCTCCCTACGGGTATTCTGACTATGGGTTTTGCTGTTAACCTGTCCGCTCAGATGACAAAGATATTGAGCAGGTATGCATGCTTAACTGGATTAAATGAATACTTCCATGATAACTTACTGATGACTACCTGAAGGAGAGGACTCACTGTTGAATTTTATCTATCAGGTTAACCAGATCCGTGAATCATTGGGTGTTATGGGTGACAGCAGCACAGCTTTCAGCTTACCACAGGTGTTTATTTATTTATTTATTTATTTATTTATTTTTTATTTATTTTTATTTTTAGTTTAGTAAATATTTGCATCAAGTTTCGTATTCAGACTTTCCTTTGTTTCCTTTATTTAGTAGTCAATATAAGTGACCATAGCACCATACTCCTGAATGATCAGTATCCAAGGCGTTTGCACTCAAATAAGGCAAATTACTCAAGCAGTTGAGCATGCATCGGTTTTTAGTAACCTTTTGTCAGTCATGAATGTTTGTTTATGACTTTATGTATATATTTGCATCGGTTTTTTTGTAGTCAGCCCCTGTTCTGCTGCCTTTGTGGTTCAATAGTCGATATAGTTGACCTTATCATCAAGCATTATATAAATTAGACAATTTGTGTGGGAACTCTTAAAGCTATATCTGCCTGCTGGTTGTATGCTGATATTTTCTCACTCCTTTTATCCATCCTTCTACACATTTATCATATTATGAATAGCTCATTGGATTTTAGTAAGGAAATTTTTAATTCTATGACTGGCTGATTCTAATAAATATTAATGTTTGGATTTTAAACAGCCTCATCTACAGAGAACAAGACTCTGTGATATGAATGACACTGAACTTGATCCTGGCTATGTGAAAAAGAGGGACCAGATGAAGGAGCTTGTTGCTTCTATTGTTCGACCAAAAATTGTGCAGGGTAAAATGCTAAATGGGAAGGAGTTTGTTTCTTTTTTGGAACAGGTGCCTTCTGTACTCCACTTAAAATGTAATTTTTGTGATCAATTTTGGGACTGTTTCTTGCAGTGCTCCAAGACTTTAAAACCAAATTCAGAATGTAGGATAGTGACCATGTCAGCTGGAGGATGATTGGATGTCTAGACTCTAGATGCCTGGCAACATAATTAATATTTTGCCATGTCTCACTGATCTTCAAACCTAATATTCAATTTTCTCCCATATCTTTGTATCATATTACGTAAACTGAATGGTACTTTTTTGGCCTTTGTCCTAGTAACCTGTGTGCACGTGCATGTTCATGTGTGTACTATGTGTTATGATTGCCTGGAAGCTATAATAAGAATGACCACCTTTACATGTCTATACTAGAGAGGAGAGGTTGAGTGGGGTTGATATGGAAGATGTTAATATCAGCTTGTGTGATGCTCCTTTTTGACTTGGCGTTCTGAAAAACTATTCTTTTGGTGTTTCAGATTATTGAAGCTTTGAACAAAGGAGAAATCCCTTCCACTGGATCTCTTGTTGAGGTTTTTAATAAGAAAATTGTTGAGAGGTGTTTGAAGTTATACAATGAAAAGATGTCTATCTTGAAATTGCCTCTCTCTGAGGATTCGTTGAAAATAGCCCATGAAGATTCTAGAGATGCTTCCATGAAAGTTTTTGATCAACAGCATTTCGGCCGTAATCATGCTAAGAAATCAGTTGATCAATTGGATGAAGAAATTAAGAAGGTACATTTATCCAGCTGAACTATTAACATAGCATCAGTTACCAGTAGAAACTTTGAAAGCCTTTGTAACTTGGTTATGGCGTTTTCAAACTGCACATGAATAGTTTCTACCTTTGGAATACTATCTTGATATCTTGATGACCATTTTTCCAACAAAATTGTGTTAAAAACCTAGTACTAGTAATGTAGTAAATATCACACTCCTTAATCTGCAAAGGGCTGTGACATTGAAAAAAATGCCAGTTGTCTTTTATTTGATTTCTTGGTTGCTCCAGAAGCAGTGTTGTACAGCTTTGTTTACTAGAATGCATCATGATAATTCACTTCATTCTTCTTCTTACTGTTTATTCTTTCCTTTTATTCCCACTCAACTAGAAAGGGAAGAATGAAAAAAGTATGAAGCCTGAAGTATATAATAAGATTTTTAGGTTATATGTTGTTTTAATCAAATTTTTTGATGCAGTATCTTTCATCTGTGCTGTATTATCTGCATTTTGCATTTCTCACTACAGGCTAGAATGATATCGGGCATTGGACCGAGGATGAGTGTTGCTATTTATGTTGTAGGTGTTTGAGAATTATGTAATGGCAAATAAATATGAATCAACAAAACTTTGTGAGATGCTGTATACAACTTGTGAGGACAAGATGGACCAGCTTCAGGTGCTCAGACTTCCGTCTATGGCCAAATTCAATGCAGGATTTCTCAAGTGCAATGAGAGTTTTGAACAACTGTGTGTTGGACCTTCAAAAGTCAATTATGAACAACGGATGATGAAGGTTATGTTTCATGATTTACTATGTTCCACTCTAGATGTCAATGCCTACTTGCGTGATTTAGCTTCATCTTCCTGCCTGCCTGTATACTTTGGCAAATTAATTATTACATATTGCTAAAGAGAAATCATTTAGTTTTCTTTAGAATTTTCTTTGCATATTGGTTCGCTTTGTTATTTTTGAAAGGTCTGCTGCTGTAAAACCTTTTGTAGGTTATAGTTTCTCTGTTCCTTTGAGTTAGCTACAGTTACTAAATGCACAAACAATTAAGGAGGGTAAGAAGGAGAGTGTGTTAAGTGCACCATGTGTAAGAAAAAGTAGGTTAGATAGTATTGTATGTAAAAGAGTGTTTTAAGTGTGGGCTGAGGTCGGGGTTGGTGGCAAGTACAACTTTACATCAGTAGCTTTATAAGACAAATATCTGAGTAGTATAATGGGTTAAATAAGCTTCGTTTATTTCACTTGAGCTCCCGTTGCCTGAACTTGTTGACTCTAATTTGAACTTGCGTGTAATTATCCAAACTTTGTTTTGTGTTGTGCATTTGGTATTCCTTCTGTACTTACCTGAACTTAAGTCTCCCGCAAATTTTTACTTTCTTTTTTGAAATGTGATGGAACAAAGTCTGTCTTCCAAGTCCCGTTTCACTGGCTGATTAGTAATACCTGTGCAATGTTATTCTGCAGATGATGGGAAAGTCGCGTTCTCTATTTATTAAGGAATACAACAACAGACTTTTTAATTGGTTGGTTGCCTTTTCTTTGGTGATGGTGGTGGTTGGGCGATTTATCATAAAGTTCTTTTTACTAGAGATTGGTGCATGGATCATGTTCATTTTCTTGGAGACATATACGAGGATGTTCTGGTCAGCAGAATCTCTATATTACAATCCCGCATGGCATATCATTGTAGGCACTTGGGAAACAGTTGTTTACAGCCCGATCATTGATTTGGACAGGTACTTTAACATACTGTCACTTATATGACAGAATTTTTGGTCTTCTTCTATGTCTGTTTTAGCCTGAATTCCCCCAAAAGTTTCCAGCAATTTACCGATAACAAATGTTCTGATTGATTCTTTAGCTGAACGTTCAGACTGCCTCTCAGATGGCAATTTCATTGATTCACCAGTCTGTAGAAACCTTGTACAAAGTGAAAATAGAACCAGCATATTGGGTAAAATCTATTTAAGAGTCTGAGGATTACTTAAATTGTGATACGCTCGTCCCATCTCAGGTTTTTATTCCAAAACTATGCCACTCCAAATCAGTAAAATTCCAAAACACCCGTTTATGTCAGAAGTATGAAAATTTGACCCTGATGTTATATGTTCTTCTTGCTTGTTTCTGAGAAGAGTGTGTCACTATTCGTTACTCAAAATCATCTTATGTACTATCTTCTTTGATCTAATAAATTTTTACAAGTTCCTGTTCTCATTTGGTTCTTTATGTTTGACCAGGTGGGCAATTCCCTTGTGTGTTTTCGTGGCTCTATTTATACTCTACTGGCGGTGTTATGGGAGGAAGAAGAACTCCTCTAGGTGGTTGTTACCTTTGTACAACAATCAAAAAAGTAGTACAAATCGATCAAGAACAGATTAGTTATACCCATACTATGTATACCGTTAAGATTCTCTTGATTTGTTCGTTTGGGTGAGCCTTTGATTTTTCATATATAGAGCTCTCTCAGTAAACTGGGATTTTGGGGTGCTTCATGGACCCTTTAAATTACCATAGTGGCATAGTCTATAAACAGGTATCAGGATCAGACGTTAGGCACTGTCGGCTTCGATTGTGTTTATTTCAATTGTAGCATACCACCCCATATGTATGATTATCAAAATTAATGAAAATGTTCTTTTTGGACTACAGCTCCTTTGTTTTTTTTTTCCTTCCTAATCACAGACTTTACATTATCATGCATTTGAAGAGTTCAATGATGCTCAGTTTCTGTTGTCACTATATTATGGTAGATATACTACGTATATGTGTTTGAGAGGTACAAAACCCAGCGCCCTATCTCAGCCATTCTCAGGCCTCACAGCATAAGGGTGATTGATGAGGTTCTAACACCTGTGATGGGTGTTGGCGGATCTTGGAGTAGAGGAGCTAGCCACTTGTCCAACTTGTGGCGCTTGACAAGCTGCTCCAACCCCGAGCGATCCAGTTGCTTACATCCTAATGTAGTGATATGGGAGTTAGCAACGAGTGAAAAAACTGGATGGTCATTGGCTCGTGTCTGTTCGACATTATTTATAGTTACATTTAATTGATCAGGTGATATATACTTGGCAAACCCGTTAACCACTAACATATTCTCAGTTTCTAACAATTGTGCACACAATTTTGCAACCCATCAATCAACCATACAACTCTATATGTTTGTTTTTCCAAAGAACATTACTACATGCTGGAATTTTGGAAAGGGATGAAACAATAATATTCATTGTGAAGCCAAAATTTACAAAACAATGATGAAATTTAGGAACTGGATGTTTTTAACTCGAAAAACATAGCTCTGTGAAAAAATTGTTCTCTAGCTACCACCCTAACTTGCTTCATGTACACATCTAAACTTATCACACCTTGTTCAAGAGCCTCGTCCAAAGCGTATAGCACATCGTCTAATGCCTTGCTTGCAGCCTTACACTCTACCATCATCTTCGACTTGGCGCCAACTATTTGAACATCAGCAGTTGAAGAAGCATTCTGGGTGTTTCTCAACCAATCTGACAGCTTATCATTATACTCTTCCACTTCTGCCACACTTTTTTCAAGATTGTCGCGTTCATTTTTAAGAATACTAATATTACCATCTATAACATCTCCTCTTTCTTTCAGCTTCACTTGGGTGTTAGACTCTCTCTCGATATCATTTTGAACTTGAACATCCAAGGCAGCCAAATCATCAGAAATCTTCCTGACAAGATCATCTATGATAGTCTCTTTCACATCTAAATCATCATAAAACTTCGCGTCTAGATCATCTTGGATTGTCGCTTTCAATGTAGTCTTGGGCAGGCTAGGATGCTCAAGTTGAAAAAGGTCTGCAAGGTTGTGTACAAGATCACATAGATTACTCTTTTTTTGGTCCCAATCTAATAAGTAAGGTGTTGTAACAACACCAGAAGGATCAACAAATGGATGGTTTTCGCGAATTGGACAATCCGGGTTAGATGGGATAAAGATCATAGGAGACACCAAAGGGTAATTTTCATGAAGCCAAATAATGAGAGGAACATCAGGTAAGAAATCCGAGACATGAAGAAAACCATTAACGTTCAAAAGATTCATAGAAGTACCATCAAAATGATCAAATTTGTTAGTTGATGGTATAAAACAGGGGAAATCTTGGAAAAGTTTAAGAAAATGTTTTCGGATTACCCATTTTTGGAGAGGATCTTTGTATGAGAGTTCAAATGAGCTACTTTCAAAGAGAGCAGTGTCTATAAACTCCATTGAAGATGTTGATTTCATGGCTTAAAATACATAAAAATATGGTTTTATGATATAATATATAGTTTCAGAAGCAAATGTTCAAGGGGTTCATAATATTATGGACTGCCAAATTTTATAAACAATCTTAAGGGCTAAGATTATACCAAGTCATCTACCATTTAGTAGTATTAAACTAAGTGGCCTGGACCAAGATAACAACCAGCTTAAGTTATAGTCTTTTTTTAATTTTCATTAATCAAGAATTAAGATTTGTTTACACGCTTATCCATTGATTGTGAGTGCAAGGATTAAGGAAGAATAAAGATAGCGTCTCATGTAATATTTAGGGACATTTCCTCCTAATTTCTATACCATCGGAATATACTAAAATTATACTTTCGTAATTTTTTTTTTATTTTTTATTTTTATAGTGGGTTTAATAATAAGATAGAATCGATAATTTGATTCTGATATTGACTTCAGATTTTTTCTTCAATGATACGGAGTATGACTAAGTAGTTGCATTATCTGATTTACGGAATAACTAACTAGTTTTAAGTACGAACTATAAGTAGGGCCTGTTCTCATTGGCTGCATTGAGCTGAATTGAACTGACCCTGAAGTGAATTGAAATGAATATTTTATAAGAGAAGAAAATTAGGAGCTGAATTTAATTGAACTGAGCTGAACTGAGCTGAGCTGAACTGAATTTCAACGTATGAGAACAAGCCTGTAATCACTTGACATTTAAATACTATCTGGTTAAAGATAGACAAGTGTCAAAACATGATTAATTACTCACTTCGTATTCTCATATACACGTATTATAATGCAAAAACTAGTATTGGGCCCGGGCGATGCCCCATAATCTAATTTAACTGATTAATTGTATTATATATTTGTATAAAACTATTACGTAATACATAACCACCAGTAATCACTTGACATTTAAATATTTTGCGGTTAAAGATAGATAAGTGTCAAAACACGAATACTCACTTTGTATTCTCATATACATATTCTAATATAGAGTACAAAGTTTTGGCCAATAATTATATCATTAAATATCTCTAAAACAAAATAGATTACGTAAATAGTCTAAAAAGTCAAAATGTTTTACTGGATACATCAATTTTTTTAGACGGATAAAGACATAAAAGTACACAACTCAAGTCCACACCTCCGCATTACCGTGAGTTGAAATCAGATTATTCCCTTCACGGCTTCGCGTCACATCGGCTAGTCTGCCTACTGATTAGCGATGGACTCGCACCCATCTCACCTGAATCCCACCACCGCCGCTGCCGGAGCTCGTTCCCGGAGCTCACACTCGCACTCGCAATCCCAATCTCCTTCCCACTCCTCCGCCTCCGTCTCCGCCGCAACCTCCTCTCTCCACCACCACCCTCACCACAACAAACGCAAGCGGCCTCCTCCTCCCACCACCACCACCAACGACGCTCCTCCTCCTTCCTCCTTCCTCTCCGCCGACACCACCGACGATCTCGATTCCATCTCCGCCGCTACTCCCGCCGATAACTCCTCCGATGACGCCGCCGCCGCTACTCCCGCCTACAACGACGACGATGATGACGACGATAACGATAACTTTCATCCCAATGATTCCTCCTCTATTCGTACCTTTACTGCCGCTCGCCTCGACGGTGCGCCAAGGAGTACTAAGCTTAGCAAGGTTGATGGTGCTTCTGTTAAGGTTGAGGTTTCTGATTCTGCGAAAGATGGCGCGAATTCTGGTGGTGGTGCTGTTCCTGTTGGTCCTGCTAATGCGAGTGGTGTGACGGTGAAGGAAGATCCTGTTAAGAGTATTTTTACGGAGAATATTCAGACTAGTGGTGCTTATAGTGCTCGAGAAGAAGGTTTGAAGCGCGAGGTATATTTGATAATTTTATCATCATTTTCGTTAATTGCTGCAATTTTGATTAATGTATTGGAAGATTAGTTGATTGATTGGGGTGATACAGCATTTTTTATGTGTACATTTTGTTAATTTCATGGCTCGAATTGAGTTATTTCATCCAGTTAGGTTATTCTGCTGTTTAAATTGGATTCATAGTTCATTGTTGCAGAATTTGGGAGCTGCATAAAAAAAAAAAATAAAAAAAAAATGTAGAGGAGATATAATTTACCTAGTCTTTTAACAAACTACAATGATGCTGTTGTAATGTTCGTTTCGATGGCTAATTGAACATATTTGTGGGCGCTAATGGAATGTAATTCTGGTTGAACTTCGTGGAACTAGAGGGCATCCACTTGGCGATCTTATGATGAGTATGAGCAATTAGTTAGTACTCGGTACGAAGTAACTCTGTATGATATAATAAGGTTTACTAAATGTTGGTTAAATGCTGAAAGAGATTTGCTTTAGGTGTGACTGATGTTTTGTTTGGCAATTTAGATTTGTTTGGTTCTAAATCAGTATGGATTTATCAATTAAGGTTCAATAGAAACTCAACTGTACTTATTCAAGTGTTCGTATTGCTCTCATTTGTTTTTCCAATAAATAAGTTCCTTGAAACGTTATTTAGTCAGATAGGCATTGTGATTGCTTAATGAACTGTAACTCTTCTTGTTAGCTTTTTTCAGGGTTTATTTTTAATTCTTAATATTCAGGTAGCATTGTTCTTATTGTAATATTATAAGGGGTAAGGACTTTGTGCAATCATATATTAGTGTGCATAATCTGCATATTGCTTTCACTCACAAACTTGTTTACTTAATTGAACCACACTTATCTTTACTTATTAGCGCTGTACATTATGTAGAATTGTTAGCTTAAACCCAAACATATGTGAACTTATTAGTGCAGAACTGAATATATAATGTCTTTAAATGAAGATTGAGCATACTGAACTGGGTTTATCTTGTTATCCACAGAATGATTTAGTAACCTTGAATATTAACTTTTAAGCAGTGAACTGAACTTTATTAGCTGCTACTGAACATATTCTTAAAACTAATTTAAATTTGGCTGCATAATATTGTTTTTCTGTATGTGCAGTACCCTTATCCCTATCTGGTTGTATAAGAAAGGCTTAACCTCATTCATTATGTACAGTAGTTTAAGTCATTACTTTTAATGATCTGTTTTAGGTTGTATACCAAATTATTACTAAAAACTGCCTATGGTTTTGGAAAATATACCTGTTTGGCTGTATCTAATAACCTTAATAAATAGTTAGGTCATGCTACACCAGCAAAGAAACATACGGACTGTTATTTCTGTAGAAAACTGGTGTTTACATTGGTCTTGATATTCAAGCTTTACTTCTCTGGATGACTTTTCATCTTTTTTATGAGGAAATCTGAATCTTGCAGGAGGAGACTGGAAAACTTAGATTCTTATGTCTTTCAAATGATGGAGTTGATGAGCATATGGTTTGGTATCTTAATATTACTCACTGGACGCTTATATGAACAAATGTTTTCATTTGTTGCTGTAAAGAAATGATGTGATGACCAATTGTTGAAATTTTTGTTTTTGGTTATTCAGGCTGATAGGGCTGAAAAATATATTTGCTAGGCAACTTCCTAACATGCCAAAGGAATACATTGTTCGTCTTGTTATGGACAGGTATGTCCATATGCGTGATGTTTGCAGAGTTAATTGCAAATTTATAAATGCTCCTACAAATTTTCTATCCATAAAAGTCATAAATCTTTCTGCAAAAGATCCCTGTTCTGTTTAGAGAGAGATTGTTAAAGGAAAAGGGTGAGGGAGTGGATATATTGCAAATGTGCATTTTTATTCCAGACCTTACCAAGTTGCTGATGCTTTCTAGGACATCCATTATTGTGCTGAAATTTTTGCAGAAGCCATAAATCTGTGATGGTAATCAGACGTTCGACTGTTGTTGGTGGCATCACTTACCGTCCATACAAGAGGTATATGCTAGGTTCAGGTTATTTAATTATCTTCTATTCTGGGTCATGACATCATGTTCTTTATGAGAAAATGGATGATGGAGGAGAAACCAAAAACTTGCCTTGATTTTGTTACTTTGCTGTGAACATAACTTTATTCTGGTGTGATGCTGTATACAGAGTTCAACAAGTTCTACTTCAGTGTACATCTGAATGTTACATAAATTTTTTTTGTGAGAGAAAATTTATTACAATTTTTTGTAAGATATTGGTGCTGTGTAACTAGGTAGATTTGTTTGACAGATTTGTTGTTGTCTCAAAGGACCTTCATTGTGCTATTTTGAACTCTATTAGCATGACCTATCTATATTAGGTGCACTGATGCAAGTTCTTACAATATTCTCAATTTCCTTCTTTTGCTTTGTTGTGTGTGCAAACTGCAAAATCACCTTCTGCATAGGTGATTGGTTCATTTATAGCTTCTGACTGTTTTGTCTATGGTATGTTACAGCCAAAAATTTGGGGAGATAGCGTTCTGTGCTATTACTGCGGATGAACAAGTAAAAGGCTATGGCACTAGACTTATGAATCACCTAAAACAGCATGCACGCGATGTTGATGGTTTAAGTCATTTTCTCACTTACGCAGACAATAATGCTGTTGGTTATTTCATCAAACAGGTACAGCTATCATCGATGATTGTTTTAGTGGCGTTATTGATTGAATTAGATTTAATGGTTATCCTGATCTTAGAAAACAGCAAAAGGTTCCTCCACATATGCCTTATTACTTTCATCATAAAGAATGATTTGGATCAAACTGGCTAGAGCTCTGTTCTCCTCAGATTATTGTAAATAATTTTCAGTAAGAACAAGTTTGTTTTCAGCAAATTGAATTGTGGAAAAGTGTATAATACAAGTTAGGGAAGACTTGAGCAAAAATAAGTTTAGTTTGGCAAAAATTAGTTTTTTTTTTTTTTTTTTTTTTTTTTTTTTTTGCAATAAGCCTATAATAAGTTTAGTTCAGCAAAAATAAGCTAAGAAGAGCCTAAGTTGGAGCCTGGAGGAATAAGGTACTCTAAATATGCCTCTTGTCATTCCATGTGTATGGTTTGTTCTAATGTCAAGTGGAGTAGTTTAACATCCAAATGGTACATGAAAAATTAGAAATTATGATGGGTTCTGGGTCTTCTTAATTTCTTGTATAGACCAATTTGATATAAATGAAGCTGGATGTATCTTTTAAGTATCTAATATTGTTTTCTTATCTAGCCTGTCGAGTAGTGTCATTAATGATTCTTGTGTTTCTATAGCCTGAGATTTGGACCTCTGAAATTGTGTTTGTGTGATTTTTTGTTGAGACTAGTGTCACTGGGGTAAACTAAGGTAAACCTGCAGATGAATGATGAACCAGCTTTCCAATGCAGGATTTTTGTTTTTCTATGGATCAAAAGTAAAGAACCTATATTTCATGTGACTTAGCCTTATACTGAAATTTATTATTTTAATTGGAGAAAAAATGTTGGTGCTTATATCACTTTAAAGATAGCTTGCCATAAATACATATGGTGAAGCTTGTGTCGGACAATAAAATTCCCAACACTGATCAACACCAACAGGTGCTAACTTTGCAAGGTGATATAAAACACCAAATTCTTATCCCTTTTCTCATGAGAACAAAACACAAAATCAAACCTAGAACAAGAAGAACCTCATACTGAACTTGAATTTGTGATTATAATATGGGCCTCAGCTGAAGAATTGGATTCACACTCTTGTTTGATTTAAAATTCTTTTTTTTTTTCCTCTGGCACTTTTCAACTGGCTGATACTGCATTTTTCTGTATTTCATCTTTTTTCTTTCTTCTTTTATTTTCCTTGGAATAGTAGCTGACATTGTTCCAATTTTATATTCTGTAGGGGTTTACTAAAGAAATCTCCTTGGAGAAGGACATATGGCATGGGTAAGTTTTTCAAGCTGCACCACTTGTATGTATGAGAGTTGGGAAACAAAGTTTTATAAGTAAATAAATTTTGTTCACCATCTTCCTTGTATCTCTGTCTTCTACTTTTGTGGATTGATTGGCTAATTTGTTTGGTATTTTATTTATACCTTTATGTATTATTGTGTCATCCTTAAGGTACATTAAAGATTATGATGGAGGAATCCTTATGGAATGCAAAATGGATCCTAAGCTTCCGTATACAGATTTGTCAATCATGATCCATCGTCAGAGACAGGTAACAAGCTTCAAACCTGCATATGTAGCTTTGGCACATTAACTCCTTCACCTCTTATGTTGTTTTCTGGTATATAATTATTTGACAATGCCGTAAGGCTATAAGCAACTATATAAGCTCTCCATGCCAACATTTCTCTGGTATGATGTTAAGGAGCAATTAGGATTTTATTTCTCATACAGGCATGTATTTATAGGCGATAGGTTTGCTCATTTTTGTAGCCTCAGCAAAGCTTAATCTACAACTAGTTAGGTATGTGGTAATCATATTTGTGAATAGGGAAAAAGGTGTATAAAGTTATTGTTGGTAACAAGAATGAAAGTTATCATTCTTATTTCTGTATTTGGTATACACGTATTAGAAAAGGGGATGGAGTGAATAAGTACCAATAACATTTGCATTAAGTAATGATTTAATATGGAAACTGTAGTCCCATGATTCCCACCCCCACTTTCTGAAATCTAGCCCTTCATTTGGTGATAATACTGGTTGGAGTTGATTCCTCTCCATCCCCTAGCCATTTTCCTCTCCCTTGTATAAAGCATATATTTTGCTGGAATCAATCCCTTGTTAGAGTAGTTTCTAGTTTCCTACTCCTGACTCCTCATTTCTGCATACGAAATTAGCCATAAAGTACTTTCCTCGGCTGGAAAATTGCCTGTGTTAGTTTGGGTTATATTAATTTAGTTTGACAGTTCTTATTCTGTTGGAACACCACATTTTTTTTTAAATAACCTCATTGTCTGGGTGATGCAGGCCATTGATGAGAAAATCCGAGAGCTCTCTAATTGTCATACTATCTACCCTGGGATTGATTTTCAGAAGGTAATTACAACTCCAGCTTTTAAAAGACATGATTGCACTTAAGTGATGTTAGTCTTCGAGCCTTGGCAAATTATGCAAGGCAAAGTCACATGCCTTGGTGAAGCGAGGCGCATGTTTCCTTTAATTATGAAATGCTATTTTATCAAGATCATTTTACTCAATCAATGTGTGACTGACTAAATTAGCAATAGAAGTCACTTTTTTTTCGTAATTTTTAGGACAAAAACGATGCATTTAGAATCACGGTTTTCCTTGTTATCACATCACTGCACAAGGGTAACTGAGATGAAAATCTAATCAGGTGTGCAGAGGCACACTACTTAATCTCAATGAGCTTCTAGGCTTCCTAAAGGCAATCATTTTTTGCTTATCATGACACTTTCTAATGACCTGCCGGAGAGGTCTAGCCTATACTATTGCCGTTCTGGCATTAAAAGATTCTGAGTTTTAAAGTTATTGAGCTGTGAAGGCGTGAGTGATTATTCTCAGTTCATGTTTTTTAGGAATTGTTCAAAGGCATTATTCTCATGGCATAAAATGAAAGAGAAAATGGAGTTTGTTGCTTATTTTGGAGACAACATTGATTTTTTTTTTTTTAAATCATTTACTTGGTTCTTAATTGTGTGTAAACATGGAACTATAAGAGACAGCTTATTTCAAAAAATTATTTTTTCAAGTGCTGTACAATCTTTAAGATTACACTCAGAATTTATCTAACTGTTTAGTATATTGTTCAGAAGGAGGCTGGTATCCCCAAAAAAGTCTTCAAAGTCGAGGACATTCCAGGATTGAGTAAGTAGAGTCAATCTTTTCTGCATTTGTGATGCATATCTCTAAACATTACGTTTTCACAACTCTTATGATTGATGTATAATATTCTCTGATGAATTTCCTTTCTTTGAGTGTTTTGGATTCTTCTTTCAACCTACTAATTGTAAATTGTTTTGCATTGATGACCTAAATATATCAGATAATATGGGGTTATATCAACCAGTCATCCATTGTTTTCTCATATGCCCTCCATAGTTATTTATGCTCTTTTCTACCAATCAATGTCTAGTTTCAAGCCAATCAGAAGTATTTGGGATTTGTACATTATACGATTTTTGTTATAGTGTGTAATCAAAACGTACATATGGAGTGCTGGCTTTCTGGTTGGCTTGAAACTTGGTATTGATTTCATATGCTGAGCCTATGTTTTGTGTTTGTGCTGGTAGTTGAATTTTGGGGTTCATGTTGCTTCTTTCTTTGTCCTTGCTTATATTCTTCAGTGTGTGAGTTGCATATTGTATACACCCACTATTTGGGGAGAATTAAAGCATTTTAAAACTAAAAACATAATCTTTCAGAAGACAAAACCTCAGCACCACTTGTAGAGTTTCTATGTTATCAGGTCTAGTAGATTTACTTTTGCAGTGATAATGTTACTAATAAAACTACACGCACACATATCGTAATTGATAATTGATCTTGTTAATATATGTTATTATAGGAGAGGCTGGGTGGACACCTGAGCAATATGGACATTCAAGGTTTAAACCTTCAATTGCTTCTGGGGACAATGCCTCATATCAGAAATCTCTTACTGCGTTCATGCGCTCACTGTTGAAGGTTAGTTTCTCTGCTTGTGCATTTTTTTGCTTTCTCTGTAGCAGTGTTTGTAAAGGTTCAAGGCACTTGGGTCCTTGAGCTTTAGGTGCAATGCACGGGCATGAGGTTCACGTTTAAATTATTACAGATTCTATGCTGAAAAATTGGTTGCAGACCTTGGACTTTAGGTTGAGCTTTTGTTTGTTGCAATGTGCTTTTGTATGGCTTGATGAAAATACCCGTTTAGGACCATTTCTAAGTGCTTGGGCACCAGCGCAAGGAATGCCTTTTCAAAGATTATTCTGTAGTGTTGGAGTTGAACTGTCAAGCTCCTGCTTGGAATGAAAAGCATAATTTCAGCTTCAGCTGCCTTGAAGCTACTATGCAGCTATGCTGTGGACATAGACATCTATATCTGAAACTGCTAAAAAATGTTTTTGACTATTAAGAAACTATGATATGGTTGTGAATTTGTGATGTATGCTATACCTTTGCCATGATTAACTCTTGATGCTTACAATATTGCTAAAGCCTTGCATAAATAGTAATGAATATGTTATATTTAAATAGTTATACACGTGACCATCCTAATACCAGGCCATATAAGGAACCAGTTCCTTAAATTTTAATCTGAATGCAGTGTAACGTCCACTCCCTGGTTTAATTATACTTGAATAACACTGAAGCACTGAGTAGTTTGTGATGATATATTTTCCTCTCCTTAACACAGTCTATGCAAGACCATCCTGATGCTTGGCCATTTAAGGAACCGGTTGATGCTCGTGACGTGCCTGATTATTACGATATCATCAAGAATCCCATGGGTATGAGCAATTTCTACATACTTCTTTTGGCATTCTAGTAATCTTTTGTTTCCAGTTGAATTAGCTGGGTGACTTGCATTGTTGTGTGTTTCGACCAAACTGAAATTATTTCATTGCTATTTATAAATTCTTTAAGTTCCTTTTATCAGTAATTCAACACTGAGCAACTGGTGGATTTTACTTGTGATGTATATAGGCTTTAATGAATAATGCTATATCACAAATTTTATGATGCAGACCTGAAAACAATGTCAAAGAGGGTGGATTCAGAAATGTATTATGTGACATTTGAGATGTTTGTTGCTGATTCCCGGAGAATGTTTGAGAATGCACGTACCTATAACTCCCCAGAAACCATTTACTATAAATGTGCAACCAGGCATGTTTTTATCTGTTTAACATCATTTTCAACTTTAGTACACTATGATCTCCGCTGGAATGTTTGTTTATCTGGTTTATTTTTCAGGCTGGAGGCACATTTCACAAGTAAAGCAAATTTGCAAGCTGGAGTCCCATTTCTCAAGTAAAGTTCAGGCAACTGTGTAATATGATCCAAAGACGCGGCCTTAATAATGTGTATATATGCGAGATGGACATTAGTTAGAAACCCTAGATGACATACCAATCGCAGCTGTTGATGGACAATCGAACTTGTATACCATTGATATCATTGTTAAATTAGAATCCGATTGTTAAATTAGATATTGATGAATCTCATATTAGAAGCAGTTTATTTATGAAAAATAATTGATTGTCACTTTGTAAGTGTTGTCAATTAATTTGTTGGTTTTACCTCTCAATGCTTGCTGATTTCGATAAGCTCCTATCGTCCATTAGCTTGTAAATTGTAGATCATCAGCTCATCTGCATGACAGCACTATTTATTGTTTTGTCAATTTTGATTGCCTTGCAATTTACCAATGCTAGGGCTAGAAAGAGATCTTGGCAAAAGCAATTTACTCTCCCGTCCAAAATAAATAGCTACATTATACATAATAACTCGGTTATCTTTAATTGTTGTGCATGCCCAACGCTGCGTCTTTGCAATTAAAAGAGAAAAGAGGTACTCGTATTGGGTTGTTGGAAAAAAAGATGTCACATCATAGGTTGTTGGAAAAAAAGATGTCACATCATTGAAATCAATTATAATCATGATTAGACTTTCTAATACGCCATTACCTAATTAATATGGATACGTATGTAAAATTGGATTGCGAATTGTACACTACGTGAGTGACATGAGTTACATCACGTGACAACTAATTTCAAACTGGAGTAGGCTTCCGAATAAGATAATAGCGGTTTTGGCCTTTTGGGCCTTGACAAGGGTGTAGAGCCAACATAAAACTGATCCATATATCATTTACCGGAGGATATTAATGATCAACACATTAATAAACTTAAGAAAATAAATATTATAAAAATAAAAAATAAAAAATAAAAAAAAAATCAAGAAGAGACAAGTAGTCCGTAGTAGTAATCTGTTTATATGCCCCAGATCTATCTATCTCTGTTGCTCTGTCTAAATTTCGTTCGAAAGAGAATCAGTGTTCATCATTCAAGGTCAATTTTACTCCCGAATTCCAACAAAATTCCACTCTAATCTGAGCAATTATCCCAGGTTTATCTCTCCACAATTCTTCAATTTTTATCAGTTTAATCTACATTGCGCAATTTTTTTTTTAAAATTTTAAAATTTCGATTCGATTGATTTAATAAAATTGCAATTGATGCCTAAAATGTCTTGTTATTGATGTTGATTGATTTGTAATTCCTTCGATTTTATGCTCTTTGTTAGTCTTTGAAATTTTATTAGGTTTTTGATGATGATATGAGTTGTATTGATTGAATCTCATGAAATTGAAGTATTATCTTTCTTTGATTTGCAGAAATTTTGATTGTTGACCTTGTTTGACCATGTCGAACAAACCTCAAATCCCTAATAAGAATTCTGCACTCATTGCTGTTATTGCTGATGAGGTACGTTTTTTTTTTTTTTTTTTTTTTTTTTTTTTTTTTTTTTTTCCCCCTTTGTAATTTAGGTTATGGAGGTGTAAATTTAGTATTGATGGTGTAATTTTGCAGCTAAACATTTTAGAAAGATGAAAATTTGGGTTGAATGAGCATGTCAAATTGAATTTGTATATGCTTTAGCTTCAATCTTAGTGATCAGTGCTCAATGTGATATCGAGGGTAACTTGATGATACAATGGCGTGTTTTTCCGAAGCGTTGGCGGGATTGTGTTACTGTTATCTTAATAATTGCAACTCAGATGCTAATTAGATGGCCTATAAGAATTATGAATTTATGATCCTTCATATTTTATCGCTGATTGATGATGCAAGTTTGGTTAAGCTTTGTTTTATATCCTCGATTAGAGTTTTTTTAATAATCATCAACTTTTTTATTGGAATTTTGTTGATTTTGAAACAAGAAATTTACATAATATAAGAGAGCCTAGATTTTGATCAAACTTGAATGTATTCCAAGTTCGAGCTATTTGGGATGCTTCCAAATTTCTATATAAGAGACACACTGCATGGACTAATATAAAATCATGCTCTTGGCCTCTTGGGGTTGAAGCCTGTGGAGGGAAGTTGCTTACATCATGACAACATCAAACTCTCGCAATAGTGAGATTTATGTTGGATTGTTGATGTTCTTTATAAGCTTATCTTATTAATTCCTTACATGTAGGACACCATTACTGGCTTTTTGCTTGCTGGAGTTGGTAACGTTGATATCAGGAGGAAGACAAATTACCTGATTGTGGACAATAGTAAGTGCCTGAATCTTCAAAATGATATAATGCTTGTAGTCTAGTACTTTAGTGTGCGACAGTTGTAATCTCTTCTACCCTTTTCCAAGCACTGAAAAATTTTGTACCTTTGTTGAATATCAACTTGACTTGCATCTACTAGCCTTTTTTCAATGCAAGAAATAGTGATAAATTCTATCTTATTGGTGAGTTGTATTCTATGTAAGCTAAAAAGAAAAAAAAAAGGGTGTTTTGTCTTTTCACCTTTGATGCCTTGATTTGAAAGTGTTGACCTTTACTGTAAACTTGTAAACGAGGCCTCGATGTGAAAAGAACAAAATGATAAAGAAAAGAAATTTTCGGTTGTTTAAAATGTAATCATGCAATGTATTGATTCTTGTTTCCTATCATATGCTAAGCCTTTTTCATATTATAAGAATAGTAAGATGTGGTTGTGTCAGTATACGATATTATAACAAAATTTTCTCAATGGTTTTAGCTTTGCGCTTAATCTATTTATTTGTGGTATACTTTTGTCCCAGCTTATGACTACTCTACATTCAACCACTGTATAAGACAGGAGCTTGTGCTCCTGAACCCCAGGGCGAGCCAGATTCTATAGACATTTTATAATTTTCGTATATTAAAATTGAGTTTTTTAAGCTGCTAATCTTACTCTTGGTAAACTTTTTTTATACGAAGTAATTTGGTACTGTTATGTGTTATCTCATTGACCCTGTTTATCTTACTTAGAAACAACGGTAAAACAAATTGAAGAAGCATTTAAGGAGTTCACAGCAAGGGAGGACATAGCAATCGTATTGATCAGCCAATATGTAAGTTTCATTTGCTGATTTAAGTTATATTTATCTTTATTTGTCTTATTGTGATTGTTGTTATAGTAGATGCTCACTTGACTGTTCTATTGACTGATTGACTTGTAAATGAAGTTGCATATTCTCTTCCCATTAATTACTAATTAGAGTCTCTGAGTTTAGTTAACTTAAGTGTTACGTATTAGGGGGGAAGAGGGGGGGGGGGGGATATGAGACAAGCCCCAGCTATGGATTTAATCAAAGAAGTCTATTATGTAAATGCTCTTTCCCCCTCGTTCAGTGTCTCTGCTGCTGCCCATGCACAATCGGACCGTTAACCCCCTAGCCCCCTCGGGGGGGGGGGGGACCTTGCCCGTGCCGAAGACGAGCTCGTCTTCAGCTGATGCTGCCCAGCCAAGGCCTAGGCGCTGCTGCTTAAGCCAAGGCATGGGAGCTGGGTACTTCTGCCCAAGTCAAGGCACGCCATGGCTTAGGCAAGGAGCACGGCATGAGGACAAAGCATAAAAACACCGCATACTAAAAAAAATACACCTATTTTTGGCAATTGAGGGTAGCATGTTGGCTTGCCTTAGGGTGAAGGCAACAATTGCCAAGGCAAGGCAACATAACTTCGCAAGGCTAGGCAAAACAAGGCATCTCAAAATATGATAACGTGGGGTCGATCAATTCCCGACACCAAATAGGCCTCTTGGGGCCCTTTGGGGACCCTTGGAAGCACTTCAATTCATAACCTTGTTGAATAAAAAATATGTTATCTGAAGACCTAATTTAAAAAGTATAATACACGAAATCAGACCATTTTTAGGACCCTGAAGTGATGGTAAGGGAGGCATCTGAGATCATTTAATGTTCTTTGGAATCTTACACAACCACTCTGCCACAACTACTCTCCCATCTTGTTATGAATTGCTTCTATCTGATCCTCTTTGGTTGGTTTTTCCTTTGTTTTGATTATGTTTAAGCATTCGGGTTTGTCCCCCCTCCCCCCTCTCTCTGATTTTGGTTGCCCATAATAAGCTCCATTTGCCCTGTTGCAGATTGCAAATATGATTAGATTCCTTGTTGATAGCTACAACAAACCAATTCCAGCAATTTTGGAGATCCCATCTAAGGACCATCCCTACGATGCTGCTCATGACTCAGTTCTTTCACGGGTGAAGTACCTCTTCTCCGCTGAATCAGCATCCAGCAGATTTTAGACAGATGTTTGTCTAAATATTGAATGCTTTGAGTTTGTAGAACTGTTCACATTTTGAGTTGATATTCCATTCTTATGTTCTCAGAATAAAGAGTGTAATTAAGTTATTACATTTGTATGTTAACCTTAAACGAGTTTGTTTCTGAACCAAACATGAATTCAGCAATTCCATATTTTATGCTCCATTCAGTATTGGTAACCATGTTTTTATCTGTTTCAATTGTCTAATCAACCAATACATACAAGCTTTGCTTTTCGAGGGAGTGCATCGTTCAATGTATGCACTGAATGGTAATGCAGGACACATTGAAGTGGATTGTGATGCATGAGAGATTTGTTTTGGTCTATTAATTTAGAATTTGGCATTACATACAATTTGGGATTACCCTTTGCCAAAAAAAAAAAAAAAAAAAAAAAAAGGCATAGGTATATTCTTACCTCTACCAAAAATAAAAAACTGTGTCACTCAAAGAACCAATTTTTCTGACAAATTTATAAAGTAATTCGTGTCAAGTTTTGCAGAATTTTGTACTGTACTGAACTATTAAAAGACTACAAAAGGTATTAAGTATTATTACTGGTGTAAGTCACTTTATAAATTATAATCCGTGTGGAATTCTTGGCTAAGAGTAGAGTAGTAAAAAGCCATAAAGGTTTTTTTTTTTTTTTTTTTTTTTTTTAACTGTAGATCAAAGTGTTTAAGATTACATATTGAAAAATCTTAGTACAGCAATAATTCTCACAGCACAGTTCAGTACCAAAAGGTTTAACTTGATAAACTTTAGAAAGCAGCTCGACTTTTTGAGACAATCTAAATTACAGAAATAAAAAAGAATGGCTGAATATTCACCAAAAAGAGTATTCGTAATAAATTGAGTTATCATTTCCACTGAAGCTCAAAATGTAGGATTCTCCTACTAAAACGGAACAGTATGGCTCACAAATACTTGCTAGTTATTACAGGAGCCTTATTGTATGATTGATCTATCATTATTGTAATTGCGAGACATTCTCAAACAAACAGCCAGACTAAACTCTACACACATGATCACTCTACTTGAAAGGGCAGCGCTACATGTACTAGGATGCAGGTAACAATAATGATGTTTCAAGCGGTTTTTTCTAACCACTCTCAAATGAGGGCAGACTTTAAAGTCTTGGTAAACTTCTCGAGTTCTTTCAACCCTTCTTCAGGTGAACTGGCTTCGCCCAACAGCCTCACGATGGCACTTCCAACAATCACACCATCAGCCCCCCATCCAGCCACCTACGGCTCCCCAAAAAAAAAAATCAGACCATCATTAACAACAAGCAGTCCAAGATCATATCAAGCAGGTTATTAGAAAAATTCACCTGTTTTACGTGCTCAGGTTTCGAGATACCAAAGCCGACAGCCACAGGCTTACTAGTAGCCTAAGTACAAAGAGGGAAAGAGTCAGATAAACAAATATTTTGCAAATTTTATTACATGGAGGTAGTGATTTTGTCATATTTTGATTTAAAACATGTACTCTGTAGTAGATAATCAGATACAATAATATTCAGAAATGGACCTACAGTGTGCCAGATTAAAAATATCAAATAAAAACAAATTATGATGCAGTTGCATGAGCAACAAATTGCATATTTCACAAATGAACACACCTCTTTTATATCACCAAGTAGCTCTTCAACTCGTGCACCAACATCTGCTCGAGCTCCAGTAACTCCAACTTGGCTGACCTGCTCATGAAGAGCTTATTCAGCACAAAACAGCAAGATTTGTCTAGAAGACATAAGCAAGCACCACGTCCCGCATCAACAGTTAAATTCCAATCACAAATGATGTATTACATATAATCAAGAAGAGATCTTACAAGATAGACAAAGCCTTCTGAAGCATCAACAATTGCCTTCATTCTATCTTTAGGGGTGGTTGGTGTAGTCAACAAGACCTAAACCATGAATACAAGAAGTCAGAACAGGTCAGAAGGTAAACATTGTTGATGAACACTTCAATCATATTTCTCCTTACCCATCAAACAAGGCGGAGGAAAAAAACAGACAAACTCAAAAAAAAAAAAAAAAAAAAAAGAATTTATTGTAACTTGCCTCTTATCATTATCATGATTGTCCCATCAAATGTATTGCAATATTCAGCAACAAATATCACAATACTCTTACCTATTTTTGTTTAATTTTCTTTAATTATCATTACTACACATCAATTATTCTTGACCTGATTTTATTCCTAACAATCTTATTCATTTAAAAGCATAGCAAAAAGTTAGTGGCTTTCCTTAGTTTGCTTAAACAAGGTGATTATCTGTCTACTGGCTCGCTACCAATAGCCTTTTCAAACACAATACCAAAAACAATTTTATGTATATACATAATCTATTGAGAGCACTAGATTACACCTGGCCATCCGGGTTATAATGAATCATGTTTTAATTATCATGTAGTTCTCCTGTAGAGTTATAAGAAGCTTTCATCATAAATATTATGAGGAAGTATACTTTTTTGGTTTTGGCCAGCTTTCTAGATACAGCATAACCTCGCAATTTTGTTCCTGCTAATACTTACGTTACTAGCAACTGTATAAAAAAAAAAAACAATTTCCAAAATATGGAGTGGTCAAATGAAGAAGCCTACCAATTCGATTCCATGCTTCAGAGCTTCCCTTCTTAGGATTTCTGTCTCCTCCAAGGGAACATCTGGTACCACCAACCCTATAAGGATAGATATTGGACATGAACATAATGTTATCGTACACCAAGAAAACAAGCTCAGTGGCTCAAATTTTTATTAACAAGATGGATGAATATCAAATGAGATTGGCAGCAACAAATTAACCTCATAGAGAATAAATTTACACTTATTTCCTGTGCAACTAACAATCAGCATCTAATGTATTTTCTCCTTTACTGTTAATAGTTTGTTGATTCTATCTATGGAGTACAACCTTTCCTCTTAAGTAATTTTCCTCTAAACAAAAGTAAGTCTATCTGTGGCCTTCATCTACAACAAATAGAATTTGGCAACACTGGTTGTAGTTGAAATTGTCAACTCGCTTCAGTAGTTCAGAATTCTTTAAAGAAATGACAGTAGCTCTAAAACATGGAAGTTATGACATCAAAATTAAAACCATACCATGGACACCAACATCTTTGATAGTAGACATAAACTTCTCAACACCACGTTTCAGTATGGGATTGTAATATGTAAATAATGCAATTGGACAAGAAAGTTGTGGTATGACCTGGTTAGGGAGAGCAGAAGATTAGAAATAATAGAATTACCAATGTGAAACACTGTTCAGATTAAAAATAAAATTAAAAAAAATGAGACAGCGGGATCTTACATTCCGCAGCATGGAGAGAATGTTATCATAATTGGTTCCCTTCAACAAGGCACGCGTAGCAGCAGCCTACAATGACATACCTACATTCAAATTCTGAAATGATTGGCAACAGAATTCACAATAACAAAATTCTAAATTACCTGAATAACAGGACCATCTGCCAAAGGATCAGAGTATGGTACACCCAGTTCTATAATATCTGAACCACAAGAGTCGAGCACTTTCAGAGCTTCTGCTGTGGTTGACAAATCAGGATCACCAGCTGTGATGTAAGGGATTAATGCCACCTATGTAATACATACATATTTAACAAGAGTTAGGACTTAACAGACTTAGAAAGGGAAATAATCCTTAGTACTGTTACTCAATCATTTGATTCATATCCCCTCCATTTCCGTCAACATACAACAAGATTGCAATCACAGAAGCTAATCCTCAAGAGAGATGCTTCAAGCAAACAATAGTATGCAACAAAGATCAGCATAACAGCAATATATATCATCCAAAAGCACAAAAGAGAGGATGAAATCCTAATGTTTAATGCAGCAGAGGACAACACAAAGAAACGTACCCACATAACTTACTTAGAAGCCACAATAACTGAACAAGATAGTACTGATTACTGAACACATGTGTAAATAAATGGCATGATTTTCAAATATTACAAATTGCCCATCAGGGTTGTGATGAACACAAAAGATGTAATTCATCATTTCCAACAACCATTTCTACTCAAAAAACTAATCAATCAAACCCCAATAATAGAGGTAAGTATGACGCATAGAGCAATCACATTGAAAACTCATCTATCCGTTCATTTCACCAGGAAAATTACGAAGACATGAACACAAACCTTTGACACAAATGTTTGCAAATAAATATTCAGCATTGACAAAACGCAAACACACTACACAACTATCCAAGTAAAATATATTCAATTACACAGACACTCACAGTCTCACAATCAGATACGACAATCAACAAGAGTACAGGACCTATAATAGTTTCCTCCAATTTGACAACATCAGACCATATGAATAACAGCAAACATCATGACATCAAAGGAAAATTATAAGTTTTATAATCCCATCAAAATCCCTTTAAAACTAAGACATTTGGAAGAAGAGGGCCATATATATTTTCCAATTTCTCCTCTTCTATGCCTCCCTAAATATTACTCACATGCATTGTAAAGTGTAAATCACATACATTTTATAAATTCATATAATCACCCAAAGCAATCGAATAATTAATAATTAACAAGAAACAAAACCTTTCCGATTCATAAAAATCAAAAAAAAAAAATAGAAAAAAAAAAAAAAAAAGGTTAAGACTTTTTTCAAAAATCTAGTTGAAATTTGTGGCAAATTTCTTGAATTTAAAGTACCCAAATGCAGAATTAGTCAAATAACAACAACCCCAATTGTTGAAACCATTCGTTCAACGAGATTAATACCCAGATTCATAAAACGATGATAAAATCGAAGGAGAGAAAGAAGATTACTTTGTTTTGCTGCTTCAATCGATTGAAAGTCTCAGAAAGTCCGACAACTGGTTGAGCGGAGGTAGCTAGGGAAGCCATTGTCACGAAAGTTTTCTTTGCCGACACGTTTCGGAATCTGAGTGAGGATGAAGGAGAAGGGAAGGGTTGCGTTTCGAAACGTTTGTGTTGCAGAAAACAAGTAGCTTTGAAAGCTATAGCCATTTGAATGAGTTCTTATCTAAGGGAAACGCTCACTCTCTCTCACTTCTGGTTTGCTGCTTTGAACAAGGGCTTATATATTCAGTTTTAATGTTATGGAACAAAATATAATTACTCCAATTAATCAAGGGGCTGTTTGGTTGAACTTTCCATGGTTTTATTTGCTTCGGTTGGTCTATTTAAGGATCCGTTGTGATTTACTGAACTGAATAGAGTGGAGTTGAAATGAACTAAAATGAATTGTTAATTAGAGAAGGAAATTAGAAATCGAACTAATTGGAGCTGAATTGAAGTGAAATTAAGCTGAAGAGAACATACGCTAAGTATGAAATCTCATATTTATGGGATTCTAACTCCACCCAAATCCCTTAGAATCTCATACTCCCCACCCCCCCTCTCCCAAGATTCATAATTCTTACTATTATTCAAGTATGAGAATCCATTTCATGTATCAACCAAACAACTTTAGATTGGTATGAGATATAGAATTTATACCAATCCATTCCAACTTAGTGAACCAAACGACCTCTTAGTATTCCCTCCGTTTCAAGTTATGTGCAACAAGGTGTGCTTTCTCTGTTTCAAGTATTGTTGTTGCATGTTTCCTAATACGGATTACAAAAATTATTTCCAATTTAGCCCTATAGGGAAATATTGAAGATAAATTAACATTTATTACACCGATCTGTGTGTGATTTTGACATGAACTTCCAACTTAATTCCATTTTTAAAAGTATATTTAATGCTTATATATTCCCTAACCATTAACAATTTTTGTACTACGTATTAGGAAACGTGCAATAAAATTTGTATAGGGAAACGTGCACACAACCACTTCCATGACCCTTGATTAATTAATTATCCCCTCTTTCTCTCTCGTTTTGTTTATCAACCATTAATAATTTTTGTATTGGGAAAATAATTTAATTTCAGTTAAATAATATAAATAAACAAAAATAAATAAGGTAAACGCTACTCGTAAAAATTAAGAACGCTAATTTTCAGGTTTTCCATCGAGTCCGAGTAGCAAGCAAGCGAGCCAACACATGACTATCCAAACACCCAAGACTAAGCCTTTTTCTGTTCGCCTTAATTTTAGTTCAGTTTAATTCCTAATTTCTTTCTCTCATGAACAATTCATTTCAGTTCTATTTAGTTAAGTTAGTTCAGCCCTAATCATTTCAGTTCAGTAAATCGGAACAGGGTTAAAGGGAGTGGGCGTAGCCTCTCGTCCTATCTCTTCTTCTGTTTAGAAAATCCTGAGCACCACTGTGCAAGCCTCCAAACCCACCACGGTGCAGCCTCAAATATGCTAGATTAGTCTATTCTCTCTCGGCTCCTCACATCAACAACTCTGCTGCATGTAACGCCAGTAATCAATCATGCTGGGATTATCATATGGTGAAATTTTCGTTATTCTTGGAGCAACTGCTGCTCTTATCGGTTTGTATCCCCTGATTTTTATGCATTTTTGAGATTTTCAATCAATTTTATTGTGAAAGTTTTGATTTTGCGCAATTTTATTCGATTTTACAATCAACAGGGCCTAAGGATCTTCCACTCATTGCAAGAACTGCCGGTCGATTAGCTGGCCGAGCTATTGGTTATGTTCAATTAGCTCGTGGTCAATTCGAAAATGTCATGCAACAAACTCAATTTCGTCAGGTCTCTTTCAATTTATATACATTATATTATTGTTAATATGATTCATGGATTCTTATTGTTGTAGAAATGTTGAAGGTTTTGAAACTTATTTTCTGGGATTGAGTTGATTTTCTCTGTATTGGGGAATTCTTGTTGTAAATTGGGTAAATATTGATGTTTTTTGTATTGGGTAATCTTTTCTAGGTCAATTTGAATCAGAAGTGAGATTTTTCTGGTATTTTAGGGTCTTGAACATGGGTTTTCGATTTTTGGCCCCAAAACTTGAATCAACATTCTAAAATCAACCCAAAAAAGATTTGTGATCTCGAAATTGACCCACAACCTACCAAATCTGTATTTGATATTACCTGACTGGATATGCTTAAACTGGTTGATCCTGTATTAAGGGTTTGAATTCATTTTTCTTGTAATTTGATGATTTACCTATAATGAGTTAACTTATTAATTTGCTTATCTTTTAGCGTGTGATGTAAAAAGCGTTGATTGAATGGAAACTTGCTTATTCTGAGCTTTATATGCTGCTTGATGTGTGTGTTTGAGGTAGTTAAGGTTGCATTTTGCTAATAATGCTGGTCTCTTGTAGTTTGGTCTATTAATGCTCCGGTGTTTGTATAAATAGTTGTTCAGATGTTCTCTTGGGAGTCAATGGTATTATGGCTGACACCTATTAACTTCAAGTGCTCTAATCTATTTTGCTCAACTTGTTTTCCAGGTAAATAAAGAACTGCAAGATACAATGGCACAGCTAGAAGCTATTCGCTATGAAATTCGCAGCATTTCTGTCATGAACCCTGGTCCATTGACACGAAGACTGATGGATAATCCTGACCAAGATAATACGAACTCAGGTATTAATTGATATTATGGCTATTATGAATGGTGTCCCATTGTTTGTACCACGAATACAATGTAAACTGCTGTATTGTTTTATAGGGGCTACTGCCAATACTGGGCCTCAAAATATCAGTGAAGAGAGCACTGCTCCTAGGCAACACCTGGTCCAACCTCAACAAATCCAACAACAGCTGCACAGCTTTAAGACAGAGACTAGTGTGTTTAAGGTTTCATAGCTGAGCAAGTTACTTTTTGCAACAACATTATGCATTTATGCATGTAGGATGGAAAACTTATTGAGATTTTGTTCTCCAGGAACATGGCTCAGTGGCTTCTGGAACATCTAATTTGTATAGTCAGGCAACAGCTTATGCTAAGTTGGCAGAAACCCCTGCAGTAAAATCTGGGACAATAGAAGGTAGTGTCAGTATGGACACAGTTGATGACAGACCTGGCCTTCTGTCAGTCCTTCCTGTATCTGCTGAAAGTGCAGGTTTACTGCCAAATCGTCAAGGTATGATTTGATGTCATCAACTTATTTTCGTAAATCTTTGCTAAAACTGCTGAGTGATTTACTGGAATCAACGGAGACTGATTTTTGTGTCATGGATTAGGTGAAGTAACAGGTTCTGATATTGTTCTAGAAGCAGTATTAGAGGCAGAAGTTGCTCGCAATGCCAAAGAATTTTTCTCCCAGCCACAGAATGAGATCAAATTTGAATAAGTTAGTAAGTTCCCTTCCACCCTTGTCTATGCTTGGAGTCTAGTTATGTTAGATTTCTAGCAAACATGTTGTCATACATTACTAGTTGCTAATTCCACACATTTTACCTTGGTAGCAATATTCAGTTCTGAAAATTTGAACAAAAGTTTCCAATACTACATATTCTGTTGACTGTTTTCTGCAATTGTGACTGTAGGATTGTGTTTGAACTAGTTGTGAACAAAAGTTTCCAATACTACATATTCTGTTGACTGTTTTCTGCAACTGTGACTGTAGGATTGTGTTTGAACTAGTTGCTTGTAGGATTGTCTTGGAGTAACAAGTGATACACCAACTTAAAGGATTATTTATCTAGTCTACATGACTACGTGGACCTTTGCAGATTAAACATAGTTTAAAACTTTTGAATGACTAGTATTGTGATTAGAGCTGTCAAAAGTTGACCCAACCCGAAATACCGACTCAAACCCGATTATTAACCGACCCATTGGAACCCGAAAAAATGGAGACCGAAACCCGACCTTACACCAACCCTAGACCTGAGTTGACCAGAGTATGTGAGACCCGAACCCGAACATGAAGGAGATGACCCGACCCGAATGTAACCCGTAAATTATTGATCTGAACCGAACTTGATTTGAACCGAAATTGACCCAAACCCCTTTTAACCCGTCAAAACCCGAATTTCACCCGACTTGTTACTAACCTGACCTGCCGACCCGTTCATAACCCGACCCGAAATCAACCTGACTTGTTATTGACATGACCCAAATTCAACCCGACTTGTTATTTACCCGACTGAATTTTACCAGACCTATTACTAACCCGACCAAAAATTCAACCCAATCTGTTACTAACCCGACTCGAAATCAACACGACTTGTTATTGACCGGATCTAAATTCAACATAAATTGTTCTTGACCCGATTTCAAATCATCTTAAATGCAATTTAGACCACCATATTATTGTTGATCAAAGCATTTTGTCTAGGGAGACCATGTCGGTACATACCAGCAAAAGAAAGGAGCATCATCCTTAAATTTAAGAGTTAAATATAGTATATATTTGTTGTATGGTCAAAGGAGATAATTATCTTTTTAAATTATAGACTATAGTTCCCTAGTATATTGCCATATATATTATAGACAAAGGAAATAATTAGCTTGATAAAATGATAATTATCTATTTATAGTTAGTTGAACCCGAATATGACCTCACTTGGAAATGACCCAACCTGATTGTAACCCGCAAATTATTGACTTGAACATAATCCGACTTGAATCCGAGAATGACCTGACTTGAAAATGACCCAACTTGATTATAACCCGCAAATTATTGACTTGAACTGAACCCCACTTGAACCCGAGAATGACCCGACTTAAAAATGAACCGACCCGATTATAACCAGCAAATTATTGACTTGAACCAAACCCAACTCAAACCCGAGAATGACCCGACCTGATTATAACCCGTAAATTATTGACTTGAACCAAACCCGGCTCAAACCCGAGAATGACCCGACCTGATATTAACCCTTAAATTATTGACTTGAACCGAACCCGACTCGAACCCTAGAATTACCCTAATCCGTTTTAACCCGTTTTAACCCGAATCAAACCTGACCTATTGCTCACCCGACCCGAATGTAATCCGACCTGTTATTAACCCTACCCAAACCTGATACGAAGTATGACTTGACGTGGCCCAACTAAAGCATGACCCAACCTAAACCCTACTCGCATAGGTTATGAAATTAATCCGAATTGACCCGACCCGCATAGGTTATAGAATTAATATGAATTGACCCGACCCGAGTTGACCTGACCTACTCTTACCGACCCAAAACCGACCCGTCTACCCGAAGTGATAGTTCCATGCGAAACCTCCAAAATTTCTCAAAATGCGTAGATATTAGTCTTGAATTTCGGAATTTTTTAACTTTTTTTCACCCGGAAATATAAATTGCCGAAATGTTTAACATGATCCCTAATACCCTCCGGGAGTCCAATTGGGTGGGTGGAGCCATCCAATTTGCCTTTAAACGGCCAATTTACCGGTTTACAACTTGCGCTGATTTCATTAACTTAAATCTACCACAAACATTTATGACAACATATAATGATCATATATGGTTCAAAACGGCATTATATGACCCCGATATGTATCCCCTATAATCTATAGGCTTTTCGACACCGGGCCTCGAATCCTCCAAAATTTCTCAAAAAGCGTGGATATTAGTCTTCAATTTTAGAATTTTTTACTTTATTTCGCCTGAAAATAAAAATTGCCGAAATGTTTACTATGGTCCCTAATATTCTCCGGGAATCCAATTGGTGGGTTGAACTATCTAATTTGCCTTTAAACAACCAATTTACCGGTTTATAATTTGCACGAGTTCATTAAATCAAGCCTACCATGAGCGTTTATGACAACATATAATGATCATAAATGGTTCCAAACGACATTATATGACCATGAGATGTATCCCCTAAAATTTAGAGGCTTTTCGACACTGGGCCTCGAAACTTGCAAAATTTCTCAAAAACGTGGATCTTAGCTTTCGATTTTGGAATTTTTTGACTTTTTTTCGCCCGAAAATAAAAATTGCCGACATGTTTACCATGGTCGCTTATACCCTCTGGGAGTCCAATTGGGTGGGTGGAACCATCCAATTTGCCTTTAAACGACAAATTTACCGAATTACAACTTGTACCGATTTAATTAATTCAAGCCTACCACGAACATTTATGACAACACATATTGATCATGTATGGTTCCATACGACATTATATGACCCCGAGATGTATCCCCTAAAATCACAAGCCTTTTGAACACCAGGTCTCAAAATTTCAAAAATTTGTCAAAAAGCGTGGATATTAGCCTTTAATTTTGGAATTTTTTAACTTTTATTCGCCCGGAAATATAAATTACCGAAATGTGGTCCCTAATACCCTCCGGGAGTCTAATTAAGTAGGTAGAACCAACCAATTTGCCTTTAAACGGCCAATTTACCGATTTACAACTTGCACCGATTTCATTAATTAAAGCCTACCACGAACATTTATGACAACATATAATGATAATATATGGTTCCAAACAGCATTATATGACCCTGAGGTTTATCCCCTAAAATCTCGAGTCTTTTCGTCAAGGCGCTACGAAACCTCCAAAATTTCTCAAAATGCATGGATATTAGACTTCAATTTTGGATTTTTTTGACTTTTTTTCGCACGAAATAAAAATTGACAAAATGTTTACCATAGTCCTTAATACCCTCCAAGAGTCCAATTAGGGGGGTGGAACCATCCAATTTGTCTCTAAACGACCAATTTACCAGTTTCCAACTTACGTCAATTTCATTAACTCAAGTCTACCACGAACATTTATGACAACAAATAATGATCATATATTGTTCCAAACGGCATTATATGACCCCGAGATATATCTTCTAGAATTTCAAGACTTTTCGACATCGGGCCCCGAAACCTCAAAAATTTCTCAAAAAGTGTGGATATTAGCCTTCAATTTTGGAATTTTTTTGACTTTTTTATGTCCGAAAATTAAAATTGCCGAATTGTTTACCATGGTCCCTAATACCCTCTGGGAGTCAAATTGGGTGGATGGAACCATCCAATTTGCCTTTAAACGGCCAATTTACAGAAATACAACTTGCACCGATTTCATTAACTCAAACCTACCACAAACATTTATGACAACATATATTGAGTATATATGATTCCAAACGGCATTATATGACTCCGAGATGTATCCCTTAAATTTTCGAGGCTTTTTAATTTCGGGCCTTGAAATCTCCAAAATTTCTCAAAAAACGTGGATATTAGCCTTCAATTTTGGAATTTTTCGACTTTTTTTCGCCCGGAAATAAAATTGTCAAAATGTTACCATGGTCACTAATACCCTCCGGGAGTCCAATTGGGTGGGTAGAACCATCCAATTTTCCTTTAAACGGCCAATTTACCGATTTATAACTTGCACCGATTTCATTAACTCAAGCCTAACACGAACATTTATGAAAACATATAATGATCATATATGGTTCCAAACGTCATTATATGACCCCGAGATGTATTCCCTAAAATCTCAAGGCCTTTCAACACCGTGATCCGAAACCTCCAAAATTTCTTAAAAAGTGTGGATATAAGCCTTCAATTTTTGAATTTTTTGTCTTTTTTTTTCGCCCGCAAATAAAAATTGCCGAAATTTTACCATGATTCCGAATACCCTCCGGGAGTCCAATTGGGTGGGTTGAACTATCTAATTTGCCTTTAAACGACCAATTTACCGGTTTACAATTTGCACGATTTCATTAAATCAAGCCTACCACAAACATTTATGACAATATATAATGATCATAAATGGTTCCAAAAGGCATTATATGACCACGAGATGTATCTCCTTAAATCAAAGGCTTTCCAACACCGGACCTCGAAACCTGCAAAATTTCTCAAAAACGTGGATCTTAGCCTTCAATTTTTGAATTTTTTTGACTTTTTTCGCCCGAAAACAAAAATTGTCGAAATGTTTACCATGGTCCCTATTACCCTCCTGTAGTCTAATTGGGTGGGTGGAACCATCCAATTTTCCTTTAAACGGCTAATTTACTGGTTTACAACTTGTACTGATTTCATTAACTCAAGTTTACCACGAACATCTATGACAACAAATAATAATCATATATGGTTCCAAACAACATTATATGATCATAAGAAGCATTCCCTAGAATCTCAAGGCTTTTCGATACCGGGCCCTGAAATTTCCAAAATTTCTCAAAAAGCGTGGATATTAGCCTTTATTTTTGGAATTTTAAGACTTTTTTCACCCAGATATAATAATTATTGAAATGTTTACCATGATTCCTAATATCCTTCAGGAGTCCAATTGGATGGGTGGAACCATCCAATTTGCCTTTAAACGGGCTATTTACCGGTTTATACCTTGCACCAATTTCTCAAAATTTCTCAAAAATCTCAAACCTTCAATTTTGGAATGTTTTTACTTTTTTCTGCCCGGATTTAAAAATTGCCAAAATTTTTACCATGGTCCCTAATACCCTCCGGGAGTCCAATTGGGTGGGATTAACTATCCAATTTGCCTTTAAACGGCCACTTTATTGGTTTACAACTTGCACCGATTTCATTAAATCAAGCCTACCACGAACATTTATGACAACATATAATGATCATAAATGGCTCCAAACGGCATTATATGACCCCGAGATGTATCCCCTAGAATTTCAAGAATTTTTTACACCGGGCCCCCGAATCCTCCAAAATTTCTCAAAAATCTTGGATATTAGCCTTCAATTTTGTAATTTTTGACTTTTTTTTGCCCGTAAATAAAAATTGCTGAAATATTTACCATGATCTCTAATACTATCCGGGAGTCCCATTGGGTGGGTGGAACCATCCAATTTGACTTTAAACTACCAATATACAACTTGCAACGATTTCATTAACTCAAGCCTACCACCAACAAATAATGATCATATATGGTTCCAAACAGCATTAAATGACCCCAAAATGTATCCACTAGAATTTCAAGACTTTTCGACACCGGGCTCCGAAACCATCAAAATTTCTCAAAAAGCGTGGATATAATCTTCAATTTTGTAGTTTTTTTTACTTTTTTCCGCCCGGATGTAAAAAATTGCCGAAATGTTTACCATAGTTCCTAATATTCTCTAGAAGTCCGATTGGGTTGGTGGAACCATCCAATTTGCCTTTAAACGACCAATTTACCGGTTTACAACTTGCACGGATTTCATTAACTCAAGCATACTACGAACATTTATATTTATGACAACATATAATGATCATATATGGTTCCAAACGACATTATATGACTCTGAGATGTATCCCCTAAAATATTAAGACTTTTCTACATTGGTCCCCGAAACCTCCAAATATTTTCAAAAAACGTGGAAACTAGCCTTTAATTTTGGAATTTTTTGACTTTTTCGCCCGGAAATAAAAATTTCCGAATTGTTTACCATTGTCCCTAATACATTCCAGGAGTCCAATTGGGTGTGTGGAACCATCAATTTGCTGTTAAACGGCCAATTTACCAGTTTACAACTTGGACCGATTTCATTAATTCAAGCCTACCACGAACATTTATGACAACAAATAATGGTCATATATGGTTCATAATGGCATTATATGACCCCAAGATGTATCCCATAGAATTTCAAGACTTTTCGACCCGAAACCTCCAAAATTTCTCAAAAAGCGTGGATATTAGCCTTTAATTTTGGAATTTTTTGACTTTTATTTGCCCGGAAATAAAATTGCCGAAATGTTTACCATGGTCCTTAATACCCGACGAGAGTCCAATTGGGTGTGTGGAACCATCCAATTTGCTGTTATACGTTTACCGGTATACAACTTGCACCGATTTACTAATTTACAACGGCCAATTTAATTAACTTGCACCGGACCCGACTTGAACCGAAATGGACCCTAACCCATTTTAACCTGTCAAAACTCGAATTTAACCCAACCCGTTCCTAACCCGACCTGAATTCAGCCCAACCTGTTCGTAACCCGACCTGAATTTAACCCAACCTGTTATAAACCCGACCCGAAATCAACCCGACTTGTTTTTTACCTGACCCAAATTCAACCCGACTTGTTATTGACCCGACCCGAATTTTACCAAATCTATTACTTACCCGATCCAAAAATTCAACCCGATCTGTTACTAACCCGACTCAAAATTAACACTTCTTGTTATTGACCCGACCTAAATTCAACGCAATTTGTTCTTGACCCAATTTCAAATCACCTTAAATGCAATTTAGACCACCTTATTATTGTTGATCAAAGCATTTTGTCTAGGGAGACCAAGTCGGTCCAGGCTTGCAAAAGAAAGGAGCATCATCCTCAAATTTAAGAGTTAAATATACTATATATTTGTTGTATGGTCAAAGAAGATAATTATCTTCCTAAATTATAGACTATAGTTCCCTAGTATATTATCATATATATTATAGTCAAAGGAAGTAATTAGTTTGATAAAAATGAGAATTATCTATTTATAGTTAGTTGAACCCGAATATGACCTGACTTAGAAATGACCCGACCTGATTGTAACCTGCAAATTATTGACTTAGAACATAACCCGACTTGAATCCGAGAATGATCCGACTTGGAAATGAACTAACCTATTATAACTCGCAAATTATTGACTTGAACCGAACCCGACTTGAACCCGAGAATGACCCGACTTGAAAATGACCCGACCTGATTACAATCCGCAAATTATTGATTTGAACTGAACCAGACTCAAACCCGAGAATGACCCGACCTGATTCTAACCCGCAAATTATTAACTTGAACCGAACCCGACTCAAACCCGAGAAATACCCTAACCCGATTTAACCCGAATTATACTCGGCCTATTGTTCACCCGACCCGAATGTAACCCGATAAGAAGTATGACCCGACTCAAGCATGACCCAACCCAAACCCGACCTGCATAAGTTATGGAATTAATCCGAGTTGACCCGACCCACTCTTACCCGACCCAAACCCGACCCGTTTACCCGAATTGACAACTCTAATTGTGATCTTTGCCTGGTACCTCTAGAAAAGACCGAAAGAGGTCATTGCTAAACAAATTCAGCTTCTCAAATAGTTGCCATTATATAGAATTGAATGAACTGATTTTTCACTGGTGTATACTTGTATCAGAGCCCATTCAAATTTCAATCAGTTGACTATCATCACCAATTTTTCTTCAGACTTGTGCTAATTCTCTTTGAATCTTATAGTTGCTGAAAGAGTGTGGAGAATGACATAGCTTGTAATATTGAGGGGCAAGTTGAATTGGTGCAGAAATTAGGCTTATGTTGGATAGCTGGGATTAAATGTGTTTAAATTCTGGAGGTTTTCATTCCTGGATAAGTTCCCTCTTTCCTTGATTATTTTATGTGGGTTGTACATGGGTTCATTGATTCATAATATTTCATTCATCTTAAAAGGGACGGGGGTAAAGATGGGGAAGACTTGGGTGCTTATTGTTGTTCTATGTAATGTAGCTGATATAGAAGCAGCTATGAATCGATATTTTTTTTTTGGGGTGGGGGGGGGGGGGGGGGGGGGGGGGGGTGGGGGGAGGGGCAATGTAGGCAGTTGTACTATGATTTAGTGGCTTGGATAATAATCCCAGTTACAGGAATTTTCTATCAATAGAGCTAATTAGAGATAGGAGGGGTTATGTAGAGTATTGATGAGTGCTTTTTTAGCATGCAGGTTGCTGATTGGAAGAGAATCAAGCCCATTAAAAGCTTGAATACCGTTCATTTTGCTGCAATTCAAGTTTATTTATCGAAATTCCTGCTCTCCTAACATTCTTGCATTAATTTCATAGCAGAAGCTTAGTGCTGCTTAGCTGGAGAAAGGATTTATCAGAGGGACACCGTTTGCACTCTTGCTGAAGTTTTGAGAAAGAAAACTCTAATGCATAAAACCGTTTGCATATTTACCCTGAAAACATTATATTGATTGAGAAGTTGAGAGCTGATAGGCCATACTTGAACTATCAACATTTAATGTACTAACAAGGTCGTCGGATGATTTCTTACATTTGTAAGTTCTTTTTCAGCTCTTTGGGTTTACATTCAGTTATGCCTCCAAATCTTGGTCAAGAGAGCCATTGGTTGCCAGAGTTGATCCAGAAGTATATTAATTTTGGGGTATATCTATCGCAGGAATTACCTGTGATTCCTGTATGCGCATGCAATTTTTGCTGTGGTAATTTCATCTTACTATATTACTCAAGAAAATTTCAAGGTTGGCTAGAGCCGAAGTTTAAAAGTCTGGTTCGTGCAACGCAACCTTGATTGATGATCCTTCTAGGACTTTCCACATTCAAGGTTGAAATCTTCAGTATATTTTGGCAAGGGGAAAATGACTCGAGTCTTGACTTAGGTGAGAACTGCATATGTTGCTGGCATTTTTCCAATTATTACAAGGTATGGTATCAGTGTTGCTACATAATATATCAAAAGAAAGCAGCAAATCTTGTATGAAACGTCTCACAATAACTTGCAGCGAAGTCAAGGTAACATATTACTCCCGCGTATACATTTACAAGGGTTTGAGCTATTAGCCTATTACATTAGTGTGATGAAACTGTATATTCTCAAATCATTCATGTAATGGATGCTATTGAGCTAAAGAATTTTAGAGTTTATGCATGGAAGTCAATTGTTGCAAAAACACCTTGTTTTACGACATCTAACTGATTCTAACATCAACTTATATATACGAATACTCGTATATACAAGCACTTGGTATATAATACGGAGTACCTCTATATTTGCCATTTTAGATTGAAAAACACATGGAATGAATGATCTATGTCCAAAAAAAAGAGATGGAGCCGTAGAAAATATGAATATAGCGAAATGATGACACTTCTGACAATCATCTGATAGATACTTACCCCGTGACACATTTTTGTCAACTTCTTTTTTACCCATTTGCCGCACGCGTAGTTGCCTTTTTATATACAAGTATTTTATTTTATTACACATTATTATTAGAAATATTATATTTTTTACAAAAAAAAAAAAAAAAAAAAAAAAAAGGAAAAAAAAAGTGAACTTTCTTTAAATAAAACGGCTTGCTCCACTAATACTAGTAGGTAATATTGTACTTATTTTAATAATTATATATTAAATTATTAAGGTGATCAACTCCCACGGGAGATGACTTCTTTGAAAGTTAGGATTTTGGTTATTTTAGGATTTGAAACCTAACTCCCATTTGACAAGTGATTGACATTATGTATTTTTTTAAAGTTGGGGAAGTCATAAAGGCAACGAGCTTGAATTTACTTTGATTATGACATTGGATCTATGGTTCTAATTGAGTTGAGAAAAAGGAGTGTAATCTTCCTCAATCGTTTGATCGAAATCGTGTCTAAGTATGGTGCTAGAGTACGGTTGATTGCCTTCTAATTGAAAGCTACTTTAGATTTTTTCGGGTAGTAAAAGCATGAGATGAATTAATTGTACCTTAAATTTTTTGTGATGCTTTACATTTGGTAAAGTTGATTGGCATTTTTGTTCTCCTTAGGGATACTATGCTCTTAATTCAAATTAAAGGGATTATTTATTGGTCAATCTCTCGTATAGTGACAAGTATTCAACAAGTATTTTGATCATTCACAAAATAGTGCGTTGCACTAGCTTCTCTTACTCAAACTTACATGAGCTATCTCACAATCCTTATTATGTCATCTATATCTATAGCATCCAGTTGCCTTATATCTATAACATCTTCAAACTCGCCTTAACAATATCAATTATCAATCATCCACTCATGTCAATATCTGCACCTCCTCGGTGAATGACAATTTCACTACTATGCTTGTGTTGTGGAATTGTGGCATTTTCAAACTCACTTTGATGATAACAAGCACTTTTTGACTATGGTATTTTGCAATATGTGTTGTTGGTTACTTTAATTATTTCAAATTCAAGTTAAATAGTTTGACTCGACCATTTTGCCAATTGTTTAATCCTAAGGTTGCTATTTGCTTATCATTTCTTTAATGACAAATGATGAATATTGTTAAATAAATAAAAAAAAGTGAATAGAATTCTAGACAACCCTGTAAAATAATAAAACTTTGCAAAATACCTAAAAAAAACTCACATTCTAAATTTCAAACAACCACTCATATGTTGTTTGGATATGTTTGTCTCTTACCTATTATTACAATTCCCTTATAATTTGATTCATTGAACCAAGTACAAGAATTAAAACTCTCTAACATTAGTTTACCCTTTTCACAAAAATAATTCCATAGATACTTAAACGAAGCTCAGATTCATAATTGAAAACTATCAAGTATTAGGTAGTACAAAAAATACTCTATATCTGGTCCGTTTCTACAAATTTATCTTGTTTTAACATGTTTTATTAGACAATCACCGTCTAAATAAGAATAACTTTTAGAGACAAATAAAGTACAACAGTTTTAAGCTTTATCAACGGACTAGATTCATCCTCAAAGGTTTAATTAGTTCATACAACCCTACAAAATATGACATGGCATAATTCAATTAGTGCTCCTAAACTCTATCATCCATCCCATGATTAAGACCTAAACAAAGTTAGATAATCCTAAACAACTCCAAAACAACACGTTATTATATATTTATACAATTATCATAATTATTTCTCCCCCCATTTTTATTTCTTTACAGCCGCCCAAAAATAAAATTATTTTTAAAAAAAAACCCCACTTTTTTATTTTAATAACCATATTTAAAAAATAAATAAAAAAAAGTCTACCAAACACCCAAAAATTCATCATTTCTTTTTTTTTTTTTTTCTTTTCTTCTTTCTCTCTCTTACTACTACTTAACAAAAAGAACCCAAACACTCTTTCCCTTCATTCTTTCTTCTTCAAAATTCTTGCTTTCTTCATCTTCTTCTTCAATGGCGAACAACCCAGATACTCCTAACCAAGATTTCCTCGAACAGCTTCTTGAGATGCAGACTTACGCCGCCGCAGCTGCCGCCGCCGCTGCCGCCGGTGACCCTAATTTGGCGGGAACTGATGTGAATTTGGGCCCCGGAGCTCCGATGATGCTCCAATTAAGCTCCGGCCCAGGTGGGTTTCATGGGCCATCCGTTTTTCCGTTGGGCTTGAGCTTGGACCAGGCTGGTAAGCCCAATTCTGGGTTTATGAAACATGACGAGGGTTCTAGTAGTGCTAATAAGCGTTTTCGTGATGACCCTCAACATCATCTTGTTGATACTTCTGCTAATTCTGCTCATAAGAATGTAAGTTTTTAATTTTATTTTTATAAATATATATTTTCTTGTTCTTTTTATTCCATATTTTTGCTGAATTTTGGAATAATACATGTTTGAAAGTGTATAATTATGTTTGAAAGTGTATAATTGTGTAACAGTTTTGATATATCAGAAATTCAGTGTATGTTATGTATGTGTTAAATTTTGGATTAGGGAGTTTGGAGGTTGAATTTTGGGGAAGAAGGGTGTTAATTAAATGGGTTTGTGGAAAATAATGGATAAGAATTATTAATGAATATGATATTGGGTAAAGTTACAACATATGATTGTTGCTGAGTTAAATGAAGGGTGTGAGCAAAGGCTGAAGCTTTACATTGTTTAATTAAAGTTGCTATCTTTATGTTGAGTTGTTGAGTATGTGTTTGGTGTGGAACTTTATAGGTATACCATGGCCAGCCAATGTCGAATCCTGTTCCCGTGGCGCCGCATCAACCTGCTGTTCGTCCGAGAGTACGAGCGAGGCGAGGACAGGCTACTGATCCACACAGTATTGCTGAGAGGGTAAGATTTCAGTTAAGTTGGTGTTAGAAAAGAAGTTTTGGTTATGAGCATGACTATCTGTCAAATTTATCTCATTGGTATAGTTTTTGATGTACTTGAGAGTCTAAATGCAACTCTTCCTTCCATCATCAATAGGAGAGAAGAGGTTGCGTCTTTGAATTTCATGTGGATCTTCTTAGACTTCCATATGTCGGTTTATGTTCTAGCGAATTGGTTATATACAGACTTTGTGAATATAATGCTCATCTTGCTTCTGGCTCAAATTATGTCTTGGATAAGAGAAATTATTCAGGGATGTTATCAAGTGTTGTATGTTTGAACCACTTCAGATGAAAATTATGCCTGACATCCTCAATTTCTTTCTGAACAGTTGCGTAGAGAGCGAATTGCTGAAAGAATCAGGGCATTGCAAGAGCTTGTTCCAAGTGTCAACAAGGTCAGTTTGCTTTTTTTTTTTTCCCCCTCCAGAATAACACGGACTGTTTGGTGCTAAGATGTCTCCCCCTTGTCATATGCAGATAAAGTATGCCTTAGCTTTTTTTTTTAGACATGGCAGATAGTTTGGCTGATTTGGTTGAACCTGTAACATAATCTTGGAATTACAAATCTTTGATACAATACACTCCTCGTGTGATAAGCATCTTGTGTTGTTATATATTGGAATCGAGTTCTGTTACTATGACACCACTTTTGAGGTCTAAAGGTCATTTTATGTGGCTTCATGGACATTATCACAATACAGAAGGGTTTAGGTGCAATTATGCCCTTTACAAATGGTTACACCCTAATCTTCTCAAGATCTTTATATTCCCAATCTAGTTTCATCCTTCATCGTGTTCATAGGTCTCACATTGGTGCAAATTAAGGGTTTGATCTAATGTAGTTCCATCAAACAGAGTTTCCACCACCCTTCATTTTGAATGGCAGCATATTACACTATATTGCAATTCATTGAAAAATACCATGCCTGCAAGCATTACTAATTCAATGTCCTACCTATATAGTTGCATTTTTACCGTTGAAAAGAGTTCATTTATGTCAGGTTGTAATCCGTGCATCATTACATTTGTTTTTGCAGACAGACAGAGCTGCTATGCTTGATGAAATCGTGGATTATGTGAAATTCTTGAGGTTGCAAGTCAAGGTAACCTTATGTTTGAGTTGGGATTTGTTTTGCTCATTCTTTGTCTCATGATGGAAGCAGCTGCTTCCTGGTGGAAGATTTATTCAGCTGCTTAGCATAATGCTAGCATCATAATTTTAATCCAAAAATAATATATTGGTCTCTTTTCCCCAGTAGTTAGCATCCAGTGAGTTGCTCCATTCATTATGCTGATTCGATTGACACATGGACCCATACTAATAGCCCGAAATTATTGAGCAAATAATGCCCTATGATCCTAGTACGGTCTTTCATCATTTTATATCATGACTTCATGATACAGTTATCCATAATTCTTACATTAGACCCTCAATCATGACTCCCTATATTTAGGCTCTCAATTTAATAAGTATCTATAACCCAGAGTCCCAGACACTATAATTAAATGATTATAATTAGATTGTTGTTATTATATTGTAACCTGTCCTGCTATTTTTAAATTGATTGTTTTCCTCTTTACTTCAAGGAGACACTTGCCCTCAATTATATTAGTGTAGTTGTTTTAAATTAAAGTTAGTATGAATGCTGATAATTAACCATTGATTGTCAGGTTTTGAGCATGAGTAGATTGGGTGGAGCTGGTGCAGTGGTGCCACTCGTTACAGACATGCCAATATCATCTGTTGAGGTATTATTAAAAAAAACTTAAAAGAACAGTCATATTATATCGTTTCTGGTACGAGAAAACGAAAAGGCAATAGTTTGACATATCTCATCTCAGGTCACATGATATAGTTTCAGACATTCCATTAACGTCGTTTTCTTGTACGCTTTATTTTCCCAACAGGAAGAAGGTGGGGAAGGTGGGCGAGGTCAACCCGTGTGGGAAAAATGGTCGAATGACGGAACTGAAAGACAAGTTGCAAAGCTCATGGAAGAGAATGTTGGGGCCGCAATGCAATTCCTTCAATCCAAGGCACTTTGCATCATGCCTATCTCACTTGCATCCGCAATCTACCACACTCAGCCGCCAGATGCAGGGTCACTTGTGAAGCCCGAGTCAAACCCACCTTCATAAATCTCCATATCAGAAGGTGATTTTCCTCAGTTTCCTTCATCTTAACTCGCTAATCTGATCTTGGGTCCTACTCTATATAGCTGTCGAAATCCAACCTCTCCACATAAATCAGTTCAATCATCTCATCTTTGAATTTGATATCAAAGTCAGATGCCATAGTGCCCAACCTTTTTTTTTATTAGTTTTGTCAACAAATAGGGACTAATATCATGGCTGAAAAATTGGAAGCACACCTCTAACATTAGTCTTTGTTGAGTTCAAGTAAAGGCAAGAAATTGGGGAAAATCGTCAAAGCTTAACTTGATTTTCTGAATTTTGAATTCTAATATGGTGGGGATGAAGAGTTAGTGGTGGATGACAAAAGCACTTTATGTAATATTATGTTAGTGGAGGGTTGTCAATTTTTTTTTCCTCTTTGTTAGTGGGTGGTGGGACCTTGATAAAGGAATGGATGAGTACATATATCTTTTGTAATATGTTATGTATTTTTCTTATCAGGAAAGGATGCAGATTTTAGAAAGGATAATGTTTAGTTGTCCAGAATAGCTTCTTTTATTGTATAGTTCAATTCATATCATTTAATTATGTTTTATGTTTTGATCTTTATTTAGGAGGGTGGTTGGCCTTATGTTTTATAAAGTCAGCTGACAAATTTGATCTCTTTTTAGCCCCATCCCCTGAATAATTATATGCCTGTAGAATCAGTTTTTTTTTTTTTTTCCTTTCTTTTTTGTTTGGGGGGAACCCATTTGCTTACTTTGCAGCTTAGGTGGGTATTTCATTTGTCGTCATATTTTGCTGCCAAAGTAGCTGTTGATTTATCTTACCAACCTCTCTTGAAAGGAGTCTAGGTAGGTGTACATACTAGGGGATACCCCCGAGTCGCTTTCTTAAGCACTATGAGTTTACTCTTTTGTTTTCTTATGTGAAGTGGGGTGGTTGGGTTTTATGACTTTTATCTCCAGCCACTCTAGTAGTTAGAGAGCCTGAGCGAGTGAGGGTTATAAGCTATTGGAGGGGTTGAGGAAAAAGGAACATCCACCAAAAGCATCTTACTCAGAGCTAGATTAGATATGAGATGGTTTATCATTAGTATTCTGAAATCAAGGAGTATATGTTTTAGTGTGTTGCTATAAATCAGTGTGAAATGGTTTTGTTTTAAGTCTAGCTAGTCACAAACCCATACTTGAAGCGCTATAATATTGAGGGGTGGTGTGATCACTTTGCTTCCACAATCGAGTCAGCTAAGACACACTATGAGTTTAATAATTTGCTTTCCTATGTAAGGGTAGCTGGTTGGTTGGTTATTGTCTTTGTATCAAGCCAGTCTAGTATTGTTTTTTGAGGGAGGCTAAGTGGCTGCTTAAGGTCTTTTAGTGATCTCAATGTGTGCGCATATGATGGGGTACTTTTGGTAGAGTAAGCTCCCTACTTCCCTCCCATCAAGCTAGCTTGTTTCTGACCTAAGGCTGAAATTGGGAACCAGTGACTTGAGAGAAGGGGTTCGGCCTAAGGCCTGGGGGGTGCTTTGTGAAGCAGGTTATGGTTATTAACTTACACAGCCCAAGAAATTGGCCTTGATAGGTAATAATCGAGAGAGCATAATAAGTTTATAAGACTAACACAGGATATCATCTCTACAACATATATTTGACAGTGTATATATGTAACCAAATATAAACATTGTATAATCTGCATCTATTCGAGTGAAGTCACATGAATAAATACTCCACAACCATGTTATAAACCAGGGCTAGACTGATGTATGGAGCAGGGCTGTCTCGCATAAAAAGCTGGGCTAACTGAGTTAACCTTGTTAATCTGTGTTTGATCGATTGTTGGAGACTTGGATGATGTTCCAGTCTGTGATCTGGTCCGTTGGCCACCTCAAGTATACTTCCCTTTGATCCTCTCGGGTTGAAGCACATGCTTTCTTTACAACTTCAACGAAAAAGCCAGGCAATGTGCTTACTAATTGTAGTTGAAGAATGCCGTGCCAATAATCGTATGATGGTGATTATATCGGAAAACTCTTAGAAGATGAATGAAATACAAAGTATGAACTTTTTCAAACTTGGATTACATGACAATTTGAACAATGGGTATAGTTAAGCTATAAACTTGGCACAAAGTGGACACGACCCCTGCTGGAGGATGATGAGTACAAGTACACAAACAACTATGAACTGTGAAGATCAACTTCATAGTAGATCAAGATTACAAAAATTACCAACATATTATAGCATGTGTATAGATAAAAGAAAGATCAAACAAATAAAATCAAGTTGGACGCTTCAAGTATGTAACTCTATACCCGATAGGAGAACAGATTGTAACGGTTAGATCCCTTTTTCATCAGATAAGAGGAATTAGGGTTGTATAAATTACAATAAACCATTTTTGTTTATCATGGAGATTAACTTGGGCCGCTTCCTCCTATTATAATTGTATGATAGTGATTAGCTAATCATGTTAGAAATTAAAAGCAGAGGTGTCAAAATCACACCCGATCAGATTCGATCATCTGAAACTAGTAAAAGAAGAGCAGTTACAAGCTTGAGAATAAATCATCATACCCCTCTTTGCAATTTGTATATATGGTGGATAACAAAACACGATACTAGCATTCTTATTGTAAACTCTTGTCATACCCCCTCTCTCGTCTAGTGAGATTTGTTTTCTTGATTGAGGCGACTGAATATAAAAGGTCTCGACAAGCATCAATTCATGAACGTAGGTAAACTTGTGTTTCCGGGATCATTGTAGTCAAACACTCTAACTTAAGGCTTCCAAGAATGTAACTTATATACGGGATGTTACACCCAACTATATCATTTAGTTGTTCTTGCTTACTAGCTCCTTCTAATGGCTGTAAACGGGCATAACAACCATTGTTCGTCAAACTTTGAGCTTGTGGAGACTGCCCCCCTAGCAGCCGGATACATAAAAATGTACTCCACAGGGCTGTCTGGTGTAAAAAGCTGGGCTAACCTTGTTGATTTATTGTTTGATCAATTGATGATGTTTCAGTCGTGTATGTGGTCCATTATCAACCTCAAATATAATTCTCATTGATCCTGAAGCACATGCTTTCTATACAACTTCCACGAAATCGCCTGGCAATGTGCCTTCTAATTGCAGTTGAAGAATGCGCCAATAATCGGATGATAGTAATTACGTTGGAAAACCCTCCAAGAATGCAAAGTGTCAACTTTTTCAATGGGCATAGTTAAGCTATAAATAGAGGATGATGAGTACTTGTACACAAACAACTACGAATTATGAACATCAACTTCACCTGAAAGTAGGAGATCAAGAATACAAAACTGACCAATATTTTGTAATATTAACAGTAAGATCAGAAAAATGAAATCAAGTTGGATGCTTCAACTACGTAACTCTGTCCACAGGAGAACAAATAGTAATGGCTAGATCCTTTTTCCATCAGATTAGAGGAGTTAGGGTTGTATAAATTTCAATATGCCAAATTATGCACTACATTAATTAAGATGCTTTAACTCAACTAATTTTATTTTTTAATTATAATTTTATTAATCAACTTTTGATAAAGAATATGTGTGACTGCTTTTATTATGGAACAGTTTTTCTTAATATTATTGAAATGAAAATTAATATTCATTTTGCATCAACTATAAAACAAATTCTTAAAATATCGTTCACGTAAGATCAATTATAAACAAAATTTTCTTTATTTTATTTTGGTTTGGAAAACTGTCAATATCATTAGCGGCTTTATATTCAAACTGCTAACAGCGGCATTAGCGGTTATAAGGATCATTTTTTTAGAAATATATTAAAGAGACCTGTTAAATAAAAAGTCGGGTCTCTTTTGACTTATAGTGTTTACTACCTCCACTTACCTTGTGTGGTGAGCTTGTCGTTTAGTTAGTAATGTTTTAAATTTTTACTAATGAATGGTATCTTAATTGAATTCCGCATATTGCAAATAGAACCGCTATTATCATTAGTAGCTTTAAGCTAAACCAATGTTTAAAAAAACAGTTAATTAAGTCTGATCTTACGTGGACAATACTATGAGAATTTATTTTTACACATAAGCAATATTTTATTTTAGCCTTAGCAATATTAGCAAATCGTTCAACATTATATTATGGGGAGATTATTTTAAGTTTAGGGCCAACAGCCAATATTTAATAACTACAATATTCCATAATATTATTAAAACACATAGAGAATACATATTATTGTCATATATCACCCTTCCTTCATTATGGGAAGCCACTAGGGGTGAAAGTTCGGTTTTCGGTTTGGTTTTTGGCTCAAACCGAAACCGAACCACCATATTTCGGTTTCTTGATTTTGCAAACCACACCGCACCACTTTCTCTTTGAAACCGAACCGAACCAAACCACCTAAATTTCGGTTTTCTTAAAAAAAACCAAACCGCACCGAATTTTCCTATCAAGCATCATGAACATCAAATTTTGCAAAAAAAACCGAACCGAACCAAACCAATTAAAACCGAACCAAACAAAACCAAACCAATCCAGGGTATTAATTATTACCATCCCACCTTATCACCACCAATACCCACCTACCACCCATCACCCTGACCACCTAAAACCCACCCACCACCCACCCTAACCTACCAAAACCACCGAAACTCACCACCCATCCCCCAAAACCACCCGAAACCCACCCGCCATCCACCCTAACCCATCAAAAACCACCCGAAACCCACTCATCATGCATCAACCCGAATCCATCAAAAACCACCCCTCCACCCACCAAAAACTGAAGAAACCCACCATCCATCCTGACCACCCGAAACCCACCCAAAACTACCTACCACCACCACAATTCAATCATACACCACCATAAAAATAAAAAACTCAAACCAAATTAAAAGAAAGAAAAAGAGGACATACCTCACATTCCACCGAAAAACCTCGAATTTGGGTTTTAAAGGTCAAATTTGACCATGAAAACACTAGATCTAGTGTTTTCATGGTCGAATTTGACATGAAAACCTTTAGAATGTGAACACTGGTGCCCAGGTGGTCGTCCTTGCCTCCTTGGTCGTACTGTCGAAGAGGAGAAGAGAGTGAAAGTGGAGAAGAGATCGAAGAGGAGAGAGAAAGGACAGAGTAGAGAACTAGAGATTGGAGAAGATAAGAAGAGGAAAGGAGAAAGAGAGAACCGAGAGGGAGAAAGCTCACAAATGGAGAAAAGAGAAGAGGATTAGAGGAGAGAGAAAGGGCGGAAAGAGAAGAGGAGAGAGTGAGAGGCTGAGAACAGTGATTAGGGTTTTTTTTTTGCCTTATATAGTATGGGCCGAAATTCGGTTCGGTTTCGGTTTCTCATTTCCCGAAACCGAAACCGAACCATACAATTTCGGTTTCTTGATTTTACAAACCGAAACCGAACCACTCAAGAAAAAAACCGAACCATATTCCTAATTCGGTTCGGTTTTCGGTTCGGTTTGATTTTAAACCAAATTTGTTTCACCCCTAGAAGCCACCACCATAAATGACATGACAAGTTTATAAAACCTTATTAAATACTATTATGGGAAGTTAGTTATATGAGATTTAGTTTTATTCGTTTCGATGAGTACATTATTAAAATCAAACTTTTACAATATTTTCTAGGGAGAGATTAAAGATATTTGCGATCAAAAATTTGCATCCATATATGTACAAAAATAATTATTACTTTGTTTTTTTTTTTTAGAGAAGATAGTTATTGGTTTTTAAAAATAATTTAAATTTAAATTATTCTCTATTCATTGTTTATACCTATATGTCAAAATTCTTCAATCTTATTGGTCACTTTTGCTTAGGTGGCGAGTAAATTTTTTAATTCTAAAATAAATTATTAATCTAATTTTTCATTGTACAAAATAATACTTTTTTTTTATGTGGCGCGCTAAATGCTCTCGAAAAATGCCTACTTTATTTACATATATATTAGATTAGATTATTATTGTTATATTATTATTTTAATCTTAGGCAAATTAATGATTTTTTTTTTAAAAAAAAAGGATAAAGTATAGTTTGAAGGGAAAATAACGAGGAGGAAGCGATAGATTTGCTACGCTTTCTTTCTTCAAAATTTTCTTAAAAAAAAAAAAAAAAAAAAAAAAAAAAAAAAAAAAAAGAGAGAGAAGGAGAAGGGCAAAGATGGAGGTGATGAGGGTAGGTTGGTGCAGTAGCAGTTTGAATCGCAAGGTGCGTGCGAAGCGGTTGCCTGGTGGATCGATAAAAAAAAAGATGAATTGAATGGCAAACAAATTTTGGATTCCAGGTTAGGTATCGATTCATGAATTACGGTGAAATTGATTTTTGTTTATGTTTAGACAACAAGTATTTTCCCCAACATTCCATTTGCGGAATTCCTGGTACCTGCCCTTACAACTTGAGACCTGCCACTGCCACTGCACTTCCCTCCCAGAATTCCTGGTAATTTTTTATCAAATAAAGAGAATGCCTATATCATCTACGTACTAATCTTTGTTTTCTTAAATTCTTGGTTTGAAGCCATAAAGAAGAAATATGCAATCATGGCTCTCAACATATGTAACACCCGTTGTTCGTTAAACTATGAGCTTGTGGAGACTGGCCCCCTAGCAGCCGGATACATGTCAACATCCCCTATTTTCCATTTTAACTTCAAGGCTAAGGAGAAGGATGCTCCAGTGCACACTTTTTTCTCTGAAATTACCAAAGATAATACAAGTGTTGTTACTTGTCACAAATACATTGACATGGGGCCAACCCACTTACTACCAGGTTACATATTCATAATTATACTGCCGTTGGTTTCTACTTTCTACGGTCTTGATGTTGTTTATTTTTATTTTTACAAGGGTTGTCGTTACCATTACGATATTACTCACATTATACTCATCTTTGTTACACCATTTTTTGCAGAGAAAGCTGATACTCTTGGATGTCTCTATTGTTACTCTCACAATATTCATCATCCTGATTATGATAAGTCATTTCGAAGAGGGGTTGAGCATCTTTATCCAACCTTGTGTTCCCAACTCCAAGAGATTAGAACATACATTGCAGAGGGGTATGATGATTTATTCTCAACCTTGTAACTGCTCTTCTTTTACTAGTTTCGTATACTACATGCTGATTGAGTTATAGATATGCAGATTTGTCCTTAATCTGACGGAAGTCGGGTGTTGATCACATCAACTTGATGTAGGTACCTGCCCTTATAGCTTGAGACCTGCCACTGTAGTCATTCCCGGTATTTTTTTGCTTCAATTGGTCAACAAAATCCGTTATTGTTTGATTACATTACTAGGACGTTTTTCCAAAGTGAGCCAATTTTGGCAAATATTAACCAAAATGGTTGTGTGGCAAAAGTATTTACCAAACTAAGATTCCAGGCATAAAACGCTGACTCGGTCAGCGTTTTATGCCTGAGTTTTTTTTAAAAAAAAATCAACCTAAAAACGCTGTCTAGGACAGCGTCTTTGTTGTTGACCTTTTTTTTTAAAAAATTTTGTAATTGCCTTTTATTTATAAAAATGTTATATCAAAGACGCTGTCCCAGACAGCGTTTTTAGGTTGATTTTTTTTTTACCACATTAACCGTCGGGGAAAGACGGAGACAAACTGGGCACTAGAGCATTGGCAGTATCTTCAGCTATGGGAGCAGCGGTTGGGTCATGTCGTTCAGGGTTATCCCATGCAGGGCGTTATGGATCATGACGATCCGTACATGGTGTGGTACAGGCTTATCACACGCCGTTTCATCAACCCCAGCTACACACCACCGTTCACCCATTACCACCCGGCACATGACGTCATTAGCGGATATGTGAGTTTCTTTTACTATACTTATCATCCTCATTTTTTAACTCTTTTAAATATCATGTACTTGACTGATCGATGATTACTACAGGCGGCGGATATGGTGGCGATGTATGATGCACTGTCCCTCGCCCTTACAGACGGACCCACCAGAGCCCAGGTCCAGCGGATGCGAGATATGTCCGCGACTTCCTTACGCAGACATGGTCACGGTCATCTCATCCAACAGCGGGATGGTGATGATGGTCACTCCATCCATTCGCGGTTCGACCCCGGCCAGAGTAGCAGTGGAGGTGATCCTACGTCGCACACAGAGGCAGAGGAGTACATCTTCCACAGTTCTGCACCCTTCAGAACCCAGGAGGACGCATCGTCCAGCCAGCTCACTCCCCCCCCCCCCCCCGCGCCGGAACCCATTCACCACCATTCACCATTACACTCGGCGTCGTCCAAGACGAAGGGACGACAGTGAGGCTAGGGAAGGGTTACACCAAATTGATGAGTAGTGAACGTATTGTATCATTGTTTTGTCCTTTTTCCTGGAATGCTGTATATAACGATTGCATTATCAATATAAGACATGCTGGTTGAATGAATCTGTTTGTGTTTTGAAGTTTTGTTTGCTTATTTATCCAAATCGGATTTATGTCAGTCAAAATAGATCCTTCAGGGCTAATGTACATTAAACAACAGACATTTGGAATCCATAGTCGAAAATGGGGAAGAAAGGATGGCCCGTGGTGGTTAATGTGGTTGTTCATGGTGGTTTTAGTGTTGTTGGTTGTGGTGGGTGGTTATCGACGGTTGTTGAATGGTTGGGGTTGGTGGTGGAGCTGGTTGAAGTGTTGTTGGAGGTCAAAAGTGGTGGCAGATGGTGGTCGATGGTGGGGGTTGTTGGTGGATTGTGGTGGCAAGAATCATAGCAGGGGGTGGTGGGTGGGGGCAGAAGAAAGTGGCAGATCAGTGGCAAAAGGCTGATTCTGCTGCTGTTTTGCACACCAGCAGAGAAACGCTGTCCCAGACAGCGTTTTAGGTTGAAAATAAGACGCTGTCTGAGACAGCGTTTTAGGTACAAGGAAGTTTGTACATAAAGCGCTGTCTGGACAGCGTCTTTGGTATAACTGTTTTTGTTTTTTAAAAACATTTTTATAAATAAAAGGCAATTACAAAAATTTAAAAAAAAAAGGTGAACAACAAAGACGTTGTCCCAGACAGCGTTTTTAGGTTGATTTTTTTAAAAAAAAAAAACCCAGGCATAAAACGCTGACCGAGACAGCGTTTTAGCCTGGAAGCTTAGTTTGGTAAATACTTTTGCCACGCAACCATTTTGGTTAATATTTGCCAAAATTGGCTCACTTTGGAAAAACGTCCACATTACCTTGTATTGTATAGTGGATAACAAAACATGATACTAATTCTCTGCTGATATACATTTAGGGGTCGTTTGGTTCACACGAGGTAATCGGAATGGAATGAACAAAGGGAAAGACAAGGAATGGAATGAAAATACCTAAAATTTTGTATGTTGTTTGTTTTGAAAACAAAGGGAATGAAACCCACCATTCCCACCACCACCTGAAAGCTTCGCTCTCCAACGTTTTCAGCCACCAAACCACTCGCCTCCTTTCTCCGGTCAGCCCCGCGGCCCCCGCCCCTCGCAAAACCTCCCGAAAAACTTTTCCCCGAAAAAACCCAAGAAAGTAAAAACCAATGAGAGAGGTGCGACAACCTCCGGTGAGGGTTGAGGGAGGTGCGACAACCTCTGACGAGGGTTGAGGGAGGTGCGAATAAGGGCAGCGTGTTCCGATGAGGGGTCTATGAAGATTTTCAATCGAAATTGAACTTCAATCAATTGAAAGAGGGGCAACGATTTGGGAGGAGCAACAACCTCCGACGAGGGTTGACGGAGGTATGAACATAGGCAGCATGTTCCGACGAAGGGTCTACGAAGATTTTCAAGGTCAGCGAGTGGTGTAGGAGGACGACCAACAACCAGGGGATTGTTTTTGCGGGGGAGGGGACAGGAGGCGAGGGTCGGGGCAACGGGGTTGGGGGAGGGGCGGCGAGGGTCGGGGGCGAAGGTGGTTGGGTTTTCCAGTGGTGTGGGTACATAAGAAGGTGGTGATGTGGTGGTGTGGTGGTGGTGGGGAATGGGAATGGAAATACCTAGGGGGTGGGGAATGGACTTAGAAGAATTTGGGGTAATGGAGGGGGTAAAGGGAATGGGAAAAAACGACTAACAAACAGCAACAAAGGGAATTAGGGGGGTTGATTCCCTTTCCCTTTGATGAATACCCCCAACCAAACGGCCCCTTAATCTAATGATCAGTGATAACTTTGGTCAGTGTGATAATATTATCTGATACTGATTCTGAAGACGAAGGTTTTGACAAAGGACCTGAATACAGAAGGAAGAAATATGCAATCATGGCTGTAAACACGTATAACAACCATTTATCGTCAAACTTTGAGCTTGTGGAGACTGGCCCCCTAGCAGCCGGATACATTTCAACATCCCGTATTTTCCATTTTAAATGCAAGGCTAAGGAGAAAGATAATCCTGATGCTCCATTGCACACTTTTTTTTCTCTGAAATCATCAACGATAACAGAAGTGTTGTAATTATTTGTCACAAATTTATTGGAATCATCAACTACCTCTTTACCAAGATTTTTTTTGTTTCCAAACGCTAATCTTAGGCTAAAGAAAGCTGAAAAGGAAGAAGCATTGTTCATTCCTAAGTTCTCGTGAGTCAAGTATTTACCCAACATGAGCACTAAAAATTTGGCTATGGAAGATGTAGCATTGTAGCCTTGCAATATTTTAATGAAACTGAAGTGTTTTCATTTGATTAACTTTTCTTCTTCTGCTATTTATTTCCATGTGTTGTATTATCTTCTTTTTTGTAATACGATCATTATGACTCATATTATCCTACTTTTTTGTTTGGTTATTGTTACAAATTTAAGGGTGTAAATTAAAATTTGAGCTTGTGAATAAAGGTCCTATTGCAGCATCGAGGATTAACTTAGGGCTTATTAGGCATCTCAATTTCAAGGGGTGGTTGTGTGGTGGTGGGCTGATGAGATTGTTTCCCTTTATTTTTAAAGCAAACAACATAGAAAATATTAGGTATTTTCATTTCACTCTTTTTCATTCCCTTTGTTCATTCCATTCTATTTACCCAAGGTGAACCAAATGACCTCTGAATATTCTACGTGTGGGTTGATTGTAGATATTTTATCCATGTTCATAGCCTAGTTTCATACAGTACTATAAATTCGAATAACCCTAATAATCTGGGTTTTGGGTCTTATGGGTAATAGGCCCAATTTAATTTAATTTGTATAATATTGTTATTCAAAAGACCCTAAAATCTTTAATTGTTTATGGCTAGACTCTAGTTTAGTCATTTATCCCTACACCCCCCCTAAACGACGCCGTACCACTACCCCCACACATTCCAGTAACTTCCCACTACCCCACCCATATATATATATATAATTAAAAAAAATAATTCAAATAATCACATTTTTCTTTCTCATCCTCTTTCTCCAATTTCTCACTCAACCTCCATTTTCTCTCTCTACTCCATTTTCGTACATGCAATTAGCAAGTAAAATTGTCTAAAATGTCCGACATAAGAGACGAAATTGCACAATCTCGACAAATTTCAACAACAACAAACCAAAAATCTAATGAGTAAGTATGTTTTACATGTTTAGTGTAAAATTAATTGAAAATTGCGAAACAAAACCCTAATTTTTTGGTATTTTTTCTTTTTGATGATGCTTTAGAAAAAAAATTGAAAATACTAGAGTTCCAGAACAATCAAAGTAAGTATTACTATTTTTTTTGGAATTATAAGCATAAATTTATTTAAATTTGCTCATATTTAAACAAGTTACTGTTTAATTTCAAAATAAACATAATTTTCCTCTATTTCTGAGACGATAATAAAAATTTAAACAAGTTACTGTTAATATTGGAATGTATGCATAATTTTGATTAAATGATCAACCAAAAAAAAATAAAGTATAGTATTGTGAAATATAATGAACAAATACAAAACAGTATATGTTCAAATTGGATTGTGTGCATATATGTGTGCATATATATGTATACATATGTTCAAATTTGTATATTATGTGTACAGCATGCAATTTATGTTTGTTTCTAAATTGTTCATTTCTAAATTTATGTGTATACATTTACTGACATATTAATTGTTCATTTCTAAATTCCATTTTGTACAAATAGAAAACATATACTTTATTCATCTGTGTAGTAAAATGAACATTTACAAAACACTATATTGTCAAAATTCATATTATGTTATATATATATCCATATATGTGTATACAAATGTTCATTGCTACAACTATATTGATCATTTATATGAACTATTCTGTACATTTGTCTAACATAGAAACATCATGTCAATTTTTATGATTTACAATATTAATTTACATTGTAGTGATGTACCATTTAAAGTGATACACTTGATGCAATTTGACAATGGAATGTTCAATCCTTATCCTATAATTCATGAGAGAAAAGAATGTTCTGAAATAGACAACAAATTGGATAGAAATGAAGTTATAAAAAAGCGGGAACCCTATTTATTAGGAGACAACCTACATCCCAAGTAAGTTGATATACTTACAAATATTCATATATGTAATATTTAATGTACAATCATTTACTTCAATACTTAATCTCATAATTGAAATAATTTGTAAAATTTTAGTGAACCAAAAAAGTTGAAAGTGAAATTTATAATGTCAAGATCAAGGCCAGAGAAAAATCAATCAATAAGGTATAAATACTTAATAAAAATTCAATAATTAATTTTTATACAGTTACATAATCATACTTTTATGTATTAACATTCGAAAAATTTCAGTGAACAAGAGAAGGAAACTTCAAAAATAGATGATGCATCAAAAAATCAAGGGTATATTCTACCTCAATGTGTTTAATGTTCATTTATTTCTTAGTTGTCATACATAATCTAATGATTTGCATTCTCAGAAAAAAAAAACAACTGAAGAGGAAGCAAAAACTGATCACCTACAACAAGAAAAGGTTGGATCAGAATTAGTGAATACAGGGTATTTGATTCCCATAATGTTCATTTTCATATTACTTAATAAACATTTTTAATTATTTGAAATTAATTGATTTTCAGAAATCAATCACCTAAGAAACACACAAGAGAGGTTGAACAACTACAACCAAAAAAGGATGCAGCAGGGTATTTTCAGAAATCAACTAATGTTCATTTTCATATTAGTTGATAAACATTTTTAATCATTTTCAATATTTAATTTTCAGAAATCAATCAACTGAAGATGAGCCTCCAAAAGAGGCTACAACAAAGGATCAGCCTACACAACAAGTGAAGGCTATAGCAGAGGATGAGCCTCCAGCAGAGGAAGAGCCTCCAAAAGAGGATGAGCCTCCAGCAACAGTTGAAGAAACACATTCATACATAATGCAAAAGTATGAAGATATATAACTTATTAAATGTTTCTATTCCACATTTACAATATTATTGATCATAAATTATCTGTTGCCAGGAAAAAATTAAAAGTGTCAACTCAAGGAATACTAAAAAAACTGACAAAAAACTGGAAAACTGCTCCTGTTAGCAAGGTCATTGCTGCTAAAAAGGCCCCTGCTACAACTGTTGATACTGCTGGAAAAGCCACTGCTGCTGAAATGGCCCCAGCTACAACTACTGAAAAGTCCTCTGCTGCAGAAAAATCCCATGCAGCAAGTTCTGCAAATGCACAACAGAAGGCCCCTGCTGAAATTAAAAAAATCCTATTAGGTAATGTACATAATTGTTAAATTAAATATTAATTTTTTTTAATCAATAACACTTATACTGAAAATGTTCATTTACCAATTTGTAAATGATCTAAATGTATAGGTGGTGAAGAAATTGAGATTGAGGATGAAACGGAAGAAGAATTGGAAAGACAAGAAGAATTGCAAAGGGATGAGGAGTTGACAAGAATATTGAGAGGTATAAAACATGTTGAAGAGTTAAATTTGTCTCAAAAGAGTGAAGAATCTTCACAAAATTCAAAGCAACCAAGAAGGATAATGGTTGCAAGGAAAAATCAAAAGAAAAAAGAATTGGAAGAAAATCAGAAAAAACAGGAATATGAACAATCACCAGCAAGAAGAACAAGAAGTAAATCACGAGGTAAATAAAATGTACAATTTCTAATATAACAATGATCATATTAAATAAAATATTACAACTATATTAATATTTATATAAAAATGTTTATTTGCAGATGTTAAGTTGCCTGGCATATCATCTATAGCAACAGCTGCTGCAGCAATTGCTGAAAACCTACCAGCAGCAACAACACCCAAAAAACCTGAGCGTCCAAGGGCTGCAACTGCAGTTGCAGAGAAACCTGTTGAGAAAACAGGGCGTACAAGGGCTGCAGTTATTGGGAAAGCAGGCCAAAAAGGTAAAAGAACATATCTAAAACAATAAATGTTCAATTACAATCTTACACTTTTAAAATGTTTATTTTACTTAATGTAATTGATCAAATAATTAGGTGGTCAGAAAAGACCTGCTGCATCAGCCAAAAGTTCTGCAAAAAAAAAGAAAAGTCATAGATCAAGTGCCTTATGATGAACCATCAGAGGATGAAGAACAAGAAGAAGACCCTGCAACAAGTTCTGCTCCTGTAGAAAAGAAAATTCTTAAAAAAAGTAGAACAAAAAGGTAATGTACATATCAATAAAGTTAAATGTTCAAATACAAACTAGCAATTTACACTTTCATATATATATGTTCATTTTACATATTATAATTGATCAAATGTTTAGGTGGCCAGAAGAGGCCTTCTGCATCAGCTAAAGGCCCTTTGAAGAAAACAAAAGTCATTGAAGAACAATCAAAGGAGGAAAATGAAGAAGATGATAAAAGTAATACTGATAGTGGATCAGACAGTGAGGATCCAGCTTTTGATGCTGAAAAAGAAGAAGATGAAGAAAGTGAGGAGGTGGAAGTAGTTCAAGAAAAGAAAACAACATTGAAAAAACCAAAAGCTGAAGAAAAAAGAATGGTTCTGTATGAGAGGGAACCAATAAAAAAGATTGTGAAGAGGAAAACTGAATTTTCAGTGGCTAAAAAAAAAGAAGAGGAGGAAGAAAAGAATGAAGAGGAAGTTGGAAGTTCGACAAGAGGAGGCCATGTCAAATTCATGCATTGGGTTAAGAAAATGAGTGATACACAGAAGAAATTAGTGCATGAAATAGGACTGGGGCCGTTGTTGGATATAGAACTTCCTCAGCTTGACAAACAATTCAGCCATTGGGTTTTAGATAGCTTTGAAGTCAGTAGTTGTAGTTTTGAGCTGCCTAAAGGTGAGAAAATTGAAATTGAGGTGGAGGATGTGAGAATTGTATATGGTTTGCCAATGGGAGACATTCCCATTGTTGAAGCCAAATCAGACAGAGCAAGTGAAGATTTTGGTGTATTTATAAAAAAATTGGAGGTCAAAATGGCAAGGCAAAACACCATCTGTAAACCAAATTATTGCTCAATATACAAGTGATAAATTCAAAAACCAAAGGCCAGCAGAAGAAGATTTTCTCACCAACTTTTTGGTAGTTGCTGTGAATTGTTTGATGAAGTGTATTTCAAACAACCAATGCCATTTCAAGTTTCTGTTTTCTATGATGGACAAAGAAAAAATAAAAAACTTGAATTGGTGTCAGTACGTGTTTGACTCTCTCATCAGTTGCCATGTGACATGGAGAAAGAGTGGAGGAAAAGGATTCTACAATGGACCACTGCAATTTCTGATGGTAAGTTTACAACACACAATAGTAAATTATAAAATGTTCATTTTAGTAACAATGAATGTTCATTAACAAATTGTTAAATATCGATTTCGTCTAAAATTTTAATCTTTTATATTAATTGTTCATTTGTATTATATTATATGTTCATTTATAGTAATGGGTTTTGGTGCAGCTGTTCTACTTTGACAAAGTTCAAAGATTGAACAAAAAACAACCAAGAACAATTCCAATAATTTCTTGTTGGAAAAGGGATATGTCACTTGAAAGGATAAAAACAGAAAATGATTTGAACTATGGATATGGAAAAGTCCTTCCAAGAATAGAAGAAAAGCTACAATCCTAAGGTACAAAATGATCATTTATAAATTATGAAATGTTCAATATCAAAACACATAATGTCTTATATGATTTTTCTTATATGTTCTATAAATGACAGGTCTTTATGAATGAATTTGCATCAATGGTACAAGAAGTTGGTGCATCTTTGGCAAGACTTTCTACCAAATTGGTTAAGGCAAAAGAGCTCTTCCCTGGGAATCAGTTGGTCAAGAAGGTAGATGAATTGTTGGGAAAGATGGCAAGAGAACAATCAATTCTCAGCCAAGATGAAGAAATATTTGGATCAGAGGATTTTTTGAATGCCATAGCTCAAATTGAGAAGGAACTGATGGAGGCAAGTGAAGCAGAAAAAAAGAAAATAGGAAATGAGAAGGAATATGATATAAGGAAGGCATTCAGTTTGGGTTGCAACTTAACTCCCCCAACTCCAACAACTGGTAAATATGCTTAATTAAAAACTGTCATTAATTTGAATATCCTTACTTAAAGAGTATAATATAATTAAAGAATTAAAATTTAATTTATTTGAACACAGAAGCACAGATTAATGTTGCAGCCACAACTTCAACAACAACTGATGCAAATGTTTCTTCTAAGCCAGAAGAGGGTAAAGCTTTAATATCTATGTACAATTATGAAAAGTATAATGTTCATTTATAAAATAAAAGTTTGTTTAGTCTAAATATTCAAAAAAGTATATATTCAGAATAACAAATGTTCATTTACATTAACAATTTCATATATTTTAAATCAACAGAAAGAGTTGGAGGTTCAAATTCTGAAGAACCACAAGATGGAGGAAATTCAAAAAAAGGTAAAAAGTTCACTTATATAGTATTAAATGAACATTTGTGATTGTAAGATATTCTTCTTTAATGATACTAAGTCTATATATGTGTGAATGCAAATTAATACAAAAAGCATTAAACAAAGGTGAAGGTTCAAAATCTGAAGCATTAGAAGAAAATGTTGAAGGAAATTCAAAGAGTGGTACAATGTTCACATATTACAAATAAATGATCAAATTATTAAGTATAATGTTCATTTCTAGTTATATTAAATTTTTTTCATGTATTTTGTTTGCAGCATCTGATTCAAAAGTTGGTGATCCCAAGACACCAACTGAAAATAGGGAAGCTGCTGGAGATATTTCTACAATCTTGAAATCTCCAGCATGTTCAAGTATGGAAGATATCCTTGATGAATCAAACAAGAAAGGAGGAAGCATGGGGTAAACATGGAAGACCTATCTTGTTAGAAAATATATAATTTTGAATGGACATGTAGAATAAATTTGGTTATAAAGTGTAATTATTTTGGACAGTTTTTGTTTATGAAGTTAGTAATGGATATGTATTATAAAATCAGAAGGGAATATTTTGCTTTAGGGTAGGAATGCACAATTTAAGATATGTAAATTATGTATTTTAATTTAAATGTTTTAGTAATATTTTAAGTGTTTATTGTTCAAAAAAGGAGAATAATGTTTTTTTTATATTAATTACTCTTCATTACTAACCATGATTAATATTTCAGAGCAGACAAGAAGAAACAGATATATGCTTCAAATGTGAAGGAAAGGTAAATGATTATTCCACATATACATGTTCTTTTACATTAAACTGAATAATCATTTATACTATATTTACATTCAGTGAGACAAAAAAGGATTCAAAAGAAATTGAAACAGAGAAGATTCAAATTTCCAAAAACACAACAGGACAAAGGTAAATGGTCTTTACATGTGTATAGATTTATAATGTTCATTATCAATATACTAAATGATCATTCATAATTCAATATTTATTCAGTGACAGAGAGAAGACTTTGGAAAGAAAAAAAATCAAGAGAAGCTGAGAAGGCAAAAACTGAGATTGCAAAGGAAAAAAGAGATAAGGTATTACTATTTGTTCTTTATATAAATTATTTGTTCATTATTAAAAAAATTCATATTTGTATTAATATATGGTCACATTAACTAGGCCACAAAGGGAAATCCCAAATGTTCCTCTTGCTTTCCGATCTCCATACATGGTCAAGTACAAGGATTTGTTCAAAGATGAAGACACAATGAACAAACTTGTAACAGACTATGCTTATAGTGGAAAAGATCAAAGGTATACATCACTTACTTCATTAAAACTTTAACATTATGTTTGTTGTAAACTCATAAAATTTAAAAAATTGATATTTTGCAGTGAGCTACTATACTATGATGGAGTGAATTCGATCAATAGGGAAGAGATGAAAACTCTTGAAGGGGATACATTAGTAGTTAACAATGTGATCGATTCATGGGCAGTACTTCTGAATCAAAAAAGGTCAAAGAACAAGTTATACTTTTCAACATTTCCACATGTAAGTCTTTATTGAAATTACACATGTATACATTGGTGTACTAAAATGATCAATTCACTTATACTAGATGATCATTATGAATATTAAAATGATCCTTGTGCATTATTTGCAGCAAATTATGTATGCAAATACAGTGTGTCCTGAAGGATCATCAATGGAGCTTAGAATTGCATACTTCAAAGAAAGAATAACAAATGAATTGAGGTTATACAAAATCAAGAGTGCAATTGGATATCAACAGGTATTAATGAACAATATGGAATTATAATATGTTCATTTACATTAATGTGTATATATAATAATATTGTGTACTATGTACAGATTTTTTTTCCAGTGGCCATATATGCACATTTCTATCTTCTATGCATTGATCATATCAATGAGACAATGCATATAATTGACAACAGGAAACTGCCAAAATATCAAACAATTGCAACAAAGTATGAAAACCAACCCCAATGGTGGTAAGTATATTGTTTAATAGATATATAAATGATCAATTTGTTTATACAAAATGATCAATATTGAAAATTAAAATGATCAATATTAATATGATCCTTTGATTTTTTTTTCTGTATATGTTGCAGTTAAAAGGATATGCAGAATATTTGAAAGGGTTGGGGTATGAAGATGCAGATTCTATTGAGAAATATAAGGTGGTTTTGCAAAAAATGAAGTGGAGGAGCAACGAAGATTACACCAACTGTGGAGTTTACATTATGAAACATATGGAAACTTTCACTGCTGATCCCAATGAAGAATGGGTTTGTGACCTAAAACCAAACAATGTAAGTAAATTTCAACAAAACAAAAAAATATACTTCATGATCACTTTATAATACATAATGATCATTTATATCCCATTAATGTTCATGTTTATAATAAATTATTTTCTTGGAACAGGTGAACCAAATCAGAAAAATCAGAGTACAATACACTGCTGAACTAATGCTGAATGAAGGAAACAGGCAGTCACAAAACAATAGAAGAGCAGCAAGAAGGTTTGCAAAAGCTTAATACAATATGTTCATATATAGACATATATATGATCATACTTGCTTTCAGTATTTGTATGGACATAAGTTTTTGTTGTTGTTCAAGTAAAGACAAAATTTATTATCTTTTTAATATTTACAAATAGTAAAGTGTTACATTATAATTGCCAGTTTTAAATCATCTAATATAATTATTCCAATTTAATAATGGTTCTTACTATTTAAAATAGTATATGATCACTTCCAAAAGCAAAAATAATCATTTATAGAACATTTAAGAATAGTTTGAAAAAAAAAAGATTCAAATTACTTAATAAATCAAAATATAAAAAACTTAAAGCACTTGAATCTCTATAAAGTTGAGACAACTAAAAATGTTGATAGTTAAACACCAAAACATAATTGCATATTGATTTACTCTCTTATTTACCATTTGTAGCCAATCACTTAGCCACACTAGTATCAAAAAACGCTAATAACCTATCATATTTGGTTGAAATCTGTGGAGAACCTCTTTGAGTACTTCTTGAAACAGTAGGAGATCCTTGAACATTCATTGAAACACTAGGAGAAAGTAGAACATTCCTTGAAACACTAGGAGAAACTTGCACATTCCTTGAATTTCCTTGAGTACTTCTTGGAACATTAGGAACATCATGCACATTTCTTGAAATACTAGAATCAACTTGAACATTCCAAAAAAAGCCTTGAGTACTTCTTGGAAAATTAGAAGGAGCTTGAACTTTCTTCGGAACACTAGAACGAACTTGAACATTTCTTGGAGCTTTTGGAGGATTTTGAACAATGCTAGAAACTTTAGAAGGAGCTTGAGCATTGATTTGAGCATGCACAACTGTGGGAAATTGTACATTTCTTGGTTTCTTTGGTGGCAATTGAGAACTTGTTGGAAAATTATCAACATCATGAGCAATTGCAGCTGTTTTACCCTAATGATCAAAATTAAAATAATTAATGATCAAATTCAAAATTCATAATGACCTTATACAAAATTAAAAGGTAGATGATTAATATTTCACCTTAACAATAGAAGATATGTCAGGATCAACAGTAACGTTTGATTGCATAGAGCTATATCCATATTCCTATAATAAAATGAAAATTATAAAAACATTATAATCACAACTTAAACTACTAAAATGAACAACTACAATTACATACATAATCATTTACATAATACCTGTTCAAAGTCATTTGAAACACTATCATCTGAAGGGATATCTTCTACAACGGCAGTCTTTTTATTACAAACCTTGAAAAAAAATTAAAAGTAAAAATGTTTAATATTCCAAAGAATTTGATAAAAACAGATAAAAAAAAAAGAAAATAAGTTTTTACGTGAGCACTTGGATCTTCAATCACAATTAACTCATTAGGATCAGCCAAAGAATTAGCATAAGATATAGGACACCCATTCTCGTCCAATTCCTAAGGCAAAACAAAAATGTTCAATTCTTGAACATAAATGATCAATAACAAAAACATAAATGTGCATTATTACCTGAACTACTCCTTGACCTTTAGATCTTTTATAAGGAGTGTATACTGACTTTTTCTTCAACCACTGACCCCTGGCTTTGTTATAAGCCTTCTCTAAATTACTCTTAGGCCTATAATTCCTCTCTCCAATAGGTCTTGATTTTGCCGGATTCTTAACTTCATGATCAACAATTTCAATACCTTCAACCAGTTCATTAAAATCAATAGTACCAGTAACACTCTCAATCTTTTCTTTTAAAAGATTGAAATAACATTCAACCTCTGCTCTAGCATTCAAAGAGTGTTGACAACTTGTTACCAACTTAACAAATTTCCTTAGTGTTTGTGTCCTCCAAACACTTGTAGATACTACATTGGTTTTCATTGTAGGTTCATCAAGGCCATGACTACACATAGCAGCCTTAGTCCACCTCTTACATATATAGTCATCTGGAATCTTATGAACACAATTCATATGATAAATTCGAAGAGCATGACAACAAAGCAAACCCATTTCACTAAACAACATGCATGTACAACATATTGCATGTGTTTCTTTATTAAAAACAACCTCGTGCTTGATCATATCTTTCCCAGGTCTCCACAAATGATAATAATATTCAGGAAAATTCACACCAGCATCCTTATGATCACAAGCAGTACCCTTAATGAACTCTTCCTCAAAAAGCACATAAGCTTGAATAGTATACAATGATCTAGCATGAACAAGAATCCCAATGTATGCAAAAGCCAAATGACGATTACCTCTGATTGTATTATAATCTCTCCTTTTTTCTTTGCTTCTCCACTCTTGAACCACATCGAGAAACACTTGATAGAAATCACATAGACCTTGTGTCTTGTTAAGCCTTTGAGAAACTGATTTGTTAGTTGTCTCACTACGTTGAGATGAAAGCACACCTCCTAACCAAAATTTCTTTGAAAAAGCTGGACACCACATCTCTTTGATTTTATACAAATCATTCAACCAATCAACATTTGCACAGTCATATTTCAACAACATTCTGTAAATGAAACATGATCATTAAGCATAACAGCTATGATCATTATAAATAAACATTTATAAAAAACTAAATGTTCATTTCTGTAAAAATTATTTAAGAAGCTAAACAAGTATAAAGCAGAAGTACCTTTTCCAATAATGCTCAAATTCTGGTGGAGTTTCACAATACTTCAGTAAATAACCAAATAAATCAGTGAAACCATCCAAAGCTCTCAACGCCCCAATGTGTTTCTTAGAATTTTGTTCAATATGCCACACACATAATCTATGATGAACACCTTTGGGGAAAATATTTCTTATCCCAGCTGCAATTGCTTGAGCTTGATCAGTCATAATAGTAATAAGACTTCTCCTTCCCATAGAAGTTAGAAAAGTATCAAATAACCACTCAAATGATTCTGTTCTTTCATTAAGTATAAATCCCATGCCAAACATCACAATATTTGCATGATGATTCATACCCACAAATGGCGCACAAATCATACCATATTTGTTAGTCCTATAAGTAGTATCAAAAACTAACAAATCACCAAAGTAATGATAATCTCTCATCATCCTTCCATCTCTCCAAAAGAAATTAACCAATGCACCATTTTCATCTTGTTCAAAATCATAATAGAAATCTGCTTCATCAATTTGTCTCTTAGCAAAAAATTTGATTAGTTGATTGATGTCACCTCCCCCAAGTTTAGCTGTCTTTTCAACAGAAATAGCATTATAAGCATTAGGAGCTGTAAAACAAAGGTTAGGAGACCCTCCAACCTCCTTCTTCAAAGCTCTCAAAGAATCAGAAACTTTAACTCCACTCAATCTAAGTGTAGAAATGAAATTAATATGTTCCTTAGAAATATCCCTTTGAGACCTTATTAAATGTCTCTTGTCAACAGGAATCATTTCATGATTATGAACCATCTCATGTCTTGTACATGTATATACACCTGAACGGTCAATACTAAACTGCACAAAAGCTAAGCAACCAGTCCTTATGTTAAGTCTCTCATACAGCCTATTATTCCTGCACTTATCATCTTTAAAACCCTCATTTGTACAAACAAATCTTTTCATAGAGAATGAATCATCTCTTCGCCTCTTACTTTTTCCAATTCTAATTCCAAAGCCCTTTCTAAATGCATATTCATTAAACATTTCATAAGCCACATCTTCAGAAGGAAATTGTTTCCCATAAAATTCAGAACTAGCTGCTTCCTCAAATAAAATAGCATTCTTTTTTTCCACTGCAATATTAAAATGTAACAAATGAACACAAATAATAGCAATAATGTACAATAACCACATGTAAACTGTTAATGATCATTTATCATTACATAAATGAACATATATCAAAATGATAATAAAACATATAAATGAACATTTATGATTACATAGATAAATGTAAATTACAGTAATTACACCTATGTTAACGTAAATGTAAATATAATATAACATACATGAGCATTAATTGAATGTCAAATTTTATAAAACTATAGACAATCATTAAAATGCAGAAAACTGGAAAAAACATCAATCGAATAACAACATTACAAAGAAAAACAATAAAATCACAACAATACATCCTAAACTATAAATTAAAATAATCATAAATAAAAATGAAATCAAATATTATAATCGACCATAATTTTGATTTTAATTCATACAATAAGCAATAACAATTAGCTAAACAATAAAATCAAAAATTATAATTGAGCATTATATAAACTATAGTTCATACAATTAGCAAAACTATGAAATCAAAAATCAAAATCGAACTATTACACGCGAAAAATAGAGCATAATCAAAATCGAATGATTGAGGAAAAAATTACTCACATTGTTTCGAAAACGAGTCGACTAAACCAACTCCAGCAGAAAAAATAGAATCACAATCACGATCAAAAGCAATTAAGCTAGAATCACTGTCACGATCAAACGCAATTGAGCTAGAAATTTCCATGGAAGAAGAGAGAGAAAAATTGGGGGAAAAATAAAAAATGCAGGAGAGAGAAAATGAAATAAGTAAAATATGAGATAAATAAAATGGAAATTAGGTTAAGAAAATCATTATATAGTTGCTTGAATAGAAAGTTAACAAAAATGAAAAAAGATGAAGAAAAAAAAATGGCAGAATGGTTCAATATAAAACGACGTAGTAGCATGGGGGTGTAGGAGAAGTTGGCTACCCTAGAGTCTAGGCAAAAATTTGTATAAAATCTTAGTTGAGGGTTTTATGGGTAATATTGTTATTCTTGAAATTTTGTAGGGTAAAATTATTCTTGAAATTTTTTTATTCTTGAAATTTTTTTATTCTTAAAATATTTAACGAGTGTAAATTTAATATACTTTTGTTTTTTCTCCAATTAGAAAGTTGTGTCGTTTATGTCACATGGGCTCTAATTTAATTTCAAATCAATCTCATGAGTTTTGTTGAATAATATCGAGAATGTGCCTCAATTATCCATCCACCACATCTTACTTCTATGGCGATCGTTAGATGTTAAGAAGGT